TATACGTGCTCGGAGGATTGGGTACTGAACGGATACGGGCTCCCATACATTCGAACGTTTTCGGATAAGTGGAATACAATCTGCTGAAAAAAAAACACTTAGAATGCTTTCAATTTTAAACTGATTTACATGTACTTTCGCGCCGCGATAAAATTCGGGACATACTCGGTTTAGCGTTATTTTTATACATTTGCAAATATTGGATACCTAAATATAAAGCCGACTGTAATGAAACTAACTCCTCACTCACCGTATCGTATAAGTTCTTGTCACCGATTGACATCGGAGATACTATTGTTCGATATAAACAATGGAATAGGAGGATTATCAGTGAAGCATCAGCAGGTAGCCTTCCAATTAATGCAGCGGATACCAGCGATGATTCGAAGATCTAAACTTATTATTTTTGCGAAATGATATAGCTTTTGTTACCACAGTCCTTTCGCAACCTGTAATTTCATGAATCCGTCCAGAAATTGAACGAAAGTTTGAGGGTGTTCGAATGCTCGTGTTTAACATCAAGCGACAACCTTCGAATACTTTATAACGGCGTTCATTTCCGAATACTTCTGAAAAGAACATATAAAAACAGAAAGTTAACTATAAATACCTTCAATTATTTTTTTGAATATACCTTCTTCAAAACAGTGAAATGAATCAATTGGCGACTCCCACATTGGAATAATCGAATTAAAAAAAGTGTGTTTTCCTTTTTGCATTAATCCGTCTTCCAAATTAAGAGGTACTCGGACCCCATACTCGTGACGGTCTACATTTAGTTGTTTTAGAATCATAAAAGTAACAGACCTTTGACGCTCTCATCATTGATTTTCACGAAAGTTGATTGGTTTAAACAGAATACACAGGCCCCCTTTGACGAATGACCCTTTAAGCCATATACCTTTCTTCTAGCCTACAAATGGGAATTTTTAAAGGAAAAAAAAATCAACTCACGGGATCGTCATGCGAGCCAGCAACAAGAGCTCCTTGATACCAAATCCCATTATGATGGTACGGCGTCGAAAAGCTGTTGATCACCCACTTTACGATTCGATCGTGAATGTATGAAGACGGGTCCACCTTACTTAGATAAATAGACGATACTATAATCGAGCTAGTTCGGGCACGATCGTTATCTTCGAAATCCAAACATTGAATAGAAAAAGGCCAGCACTTTCGACTAAAACTACATTCTTTTAAAATAAATTTATCGAAATGGTTTGCCTTTCATTTCTCCTCAGCTTTACGCCATCAAATGTACACATGAAATGTACAATGACTCTTTGGTTATCGTTTTCGATTTCTTTTAGAAGTCGTTTCTTTAGAATCCCTTCAGCCATTGGAGACGAGCATGGCTCATCTTGAAAAATTTTATTTCGAGTTTGCAATATTTTCTTAGAATTCAATTGTATAAATGATTGAAATCTTTCCGTTAAATCGGAAAAACATAATTCGGCATTTACATAACCAATCGCGCAAGTACATCTGAATATCATGTTATTTGCTATTGAATTTCTCCAAAAACAATTTAAAAAATATCAACACACGTAAATTACTTTTCATTGTCATTTCCACAGTTTCCACACACATTGATAATTGTCTGCTTGGCATTTTCCAGCAAAATTTTCTTTATTTCAACTTCATTTCGATTTTCTTCCATTTCAAAATAACGAATGATCGCTGAAAATTATGATAATGGTTAAAAACTCTTCAACCAACCTGTTTTTGAGCTAGTATAAGTCAAAAAAAAGTGAATCAACAGTAAATCTCGCGAAGATAATGCTTCCCATTGGCCTAAAGCGAAATAATTTCAAAAATATGCAAAAACGGTAACAACCTCTCGACGTAATGACTGTCTGCAAGTTGTCACAGCTCGACATTGACACAAAATCTTCTTTCGCGCAAGTGAGTTCATCTTCAGACGATTCTACAGAATCTATAGAAATTAAATCTTGCTCTGTTTTTACTTTTAGTTATACCTGATGTTAAGGTTGAAGTATCTCTATTTTCTGAAAATAGTTATTTTCTTCATTTTTTCTGTTGTTATCACCTGTTTCCGTCTCGTTCCGATATTCCCTATATATGTTTTCCATGATTTCTCGTGTGGTGTAACGATATCGCTTTCGATATGCAAATAATTTTGAATTTTGCGACATATCTACAAAGGAAATAAGGATTTCTTAGAGCGGGGGCAGTAAAATGCACGATTTTTTTGGAAAGTATATATATTAAAACACAATATACGCATAAAAATCGAATATGAAAAAATTCGAAAATTTTCGAAAATTGTTTTTCGAATTTAGACGTCAATTTTAATGCATGTCCGCAGTGTATCATTGTGGTGGTTACACTACTGTGATAAAATCCAAATCGTATACGATCCTTGCAATAACGTATACGACGAGGAAATGCGGATGTTTCGTATACGATTACAAACCATTCATCAGAATCGTATACGATCCTATACGATTCACATTAACTTATACGATTACCATTAACGTATACGATTTTAATTTTATCTTATACGATGAAGAAATTCGCTTTTTTCGTATACGACTAGGAATCATTTACCAGAGTATTTACCATTCCCATCCATCCCGACAATTATTAATGCATTGCAAATATTAAATGAGGCTGAAGGTTGTTCATTCTCGCAAAGAAATATGTTTTTTTCTTGTATATACTCGCTTATGCTCGCTAATTGCTCATTTTGCTCATTGTGCAGACTTCAAACCTCGAGTATCGATGTTAAAATCGCGTCGGGCTTCTTCAAAAAAGCCCAACAGGTTCGTCGGGGTGTGTGACAGAGCATCACAGAATTCCGACTTCTGTGCTCCCCAAAAATTGAATTTCAGTAAAAAAAACGAGAAAGATTGAGAAAAAATGTTTAAATTAATTTTTGCGGGTTACGGTAGCGAAGTCCGCAATCGTCATTACGCAAAAATGAACTTTTTTTTTAATTTTCGAAATTCGATACTTGCTTTCCATTTTCTATTTTTTTTTAGAAAATTTAAGTTGCGTGCAGCTCTGGTATGATAGGGGGTCAAACTTTTTTGGACTGCGCGGATACGGACCAACGGACCCTCATAAAAATCCGCGTGTATAGGTTTTCAATGGCTCTGAATTCGAAAATGAAATTGTCTTGTCGCCAATTTATATGGTTTTCTCAAAACTGAAAGGGGTGACGCGCACTGTATGAGAGACGCCGAGAAAAAGATTGGGATCTGTGAGAGGCGCAGAGAAAAGAGAAACATCGAGGGAGAGTGAGAGGGTGCTATACAGCGAGACGTTTCGATAGGGCACGTTTGTCGACTCGCAAATTGGAATTGATCGCTGCGAGACTCCAAAGCGAATCGCAAAAATAAGGTATTCTCAATATTCGAATGAATTTTGAAGAATCTCAATAACACTTATATATTGATTAAAGGCGCATACGGCGCAAAATTTTTAAATTTTAATCTTGGGCCAATTCAATCTGCGGGCATTCTACGAGGCCTGCTATTATCTCGAATGTATTTAGCAATGCACACACACACAGAGACTCTTCCCAGAAATTCAATTCACACAATACCAACCAGTGTATTGTTCTTGCTTATAAAAATTGATCGTGCGGAGGCACTCTCGAATTATTCATGCAATTTTTGGTAGTCGTCGTCAAAAAAAAATTTTTTTGGATTCGTCTTCTCATTGAATTATCACCTTCATGGTTTGGGTCTCGCCGCGATTGCTGTACTCATTTAAAATTGGGGTATTGGCGCAAAATTAAGCCTGTGAAAGTCGCACCGAGACCTCTTTCTTAACTTTTTTTTTGGCAAAATTTCAAACGTCTATCAGTCTTGAACTGCGGACTTGATTCCCAACAAAATGAATTTATTGAAAATTTCGAAATTGGGGCACGTTGTGTCTCAAAACGCTTTTCGCATTGGCAACGCCGACGTGACTGACGAAAAAATTGAATCGGCGATCAACGATTCGTCCGAATCGACGGCGCGAGCTAGCGAATCGAAGATGAGCCACGCTGAAAATAGAATTCAATTTGTCGCCGGCCCCCCTCCCCCCGATTCGAATCTTCTTAATTGTCTTCCTCCCTTCGCCTTCAGCTTCTTCTCGTCCTTCTCGCCCACCTGCAAGCCCCGCCCACTATCCGTCGACCAAATGCTTCCATCTCAATGCGTTCATGTTTCGCTTTTTGTGTGTGTGTGTGTTTTTTTTGGGTGCGTACCCATTATTCTAGCCAATAAAATTTTGAAGCTCAATGGCATTTGTGCCCGCATAAATAAATAAATAAATCTCCTTTTTTGAAGGTCCCGTTAAACAAAAAAAAATTTTGGGCGGGCCTTCGTGTGCTTCTATAAAAGGTCCCGCATTTCGGATTTCCTATATACCTATTTCAATTAGAATTGTTTGTCGGAGAAAAAAAAACCGGACTTTTAAAGCCGCACTTGTTTTTCTAGAATTTTTGATTTGATCTACCCTATGCTCCTTTAAACGATGTCTTAATGCGCGCGATGAGCCTTGAAAATGATGCTCTTCACCAGTTTTTTTAAACTTGAAGTATTGAATACATTTTTTTAAATACCGTAACCCATGTCCCTTTAAATTTTTTGGGCCATTTCTATTAATAGTCAAAAAGTCGTATTGCGAGAGAATTTCAAAATAAAAACCTCCAATCATTATAGAAGCGTGATGCGCCTTTAAATAGATTACTCGAATATCTGAATGCGCCTTTAAAAGCCGTATCAAATCCGATTTGAAATGATGAAAAAATCGGATTTCTTATGGTGGAGATATTGAATACAATTAGCATCACTCAAAAAACAGAAAATAGCTTGAAATACGGTAGCGATTAAATTTAAAGGCGCATCGGGTTGCTTCAACGAAAAAAATACGACGTCGAGCGAAACCAATTAATTGTGTTGCTATTCAAATTCGACAACCAACATGCCATCGTCCTCGAAATGCTCATTAATCAAACAATTCGGTTATGATGACCTATTCAGATGAGGCCGCCAAACGTCAGCGGCGAATGGACCGAAATCGAGTGCGATTGGTTCGAGACAATCCAAGAGTATCAGGTGGGCGCCGACGAGCTCAAAAGAGCCCCCCCCCCCCTCTCGGCTCATTAATCTCGATCTCTTTTTCATTCCACCGCACGGCGCACACGAGGGGGGGGGGGGAGAAGATCATTCCATTTATTTATTTACAACTTTCGGCACCCATTCATAATTCATTCGACCGCCTGAATTTCCTGGTCCCTTCCAGAACGGCCTCTACAAAATCAATTTCGACGGCTCGCCCATCGTTCCCTTGTACGGACTCGTGTGCACGTTCGGCGCCGTCGCCAACTTCATTGTTCTATTCGCGTTCGTGCGAACGTCGAATTTGCGAAATCTGCGGAATAGGTTGGCGTCGAGGCGCACACACATTCCGATTCGACTCCTTCATTTTCAGCTTCATCGTCAATCTCGCCTTCTCCGACCTTCTGCTCTGCGTCGTCACCGCTCCCGTCACCCTCTACACCAGCTTGAACCTCTTCTGGCCGTTTGGATACTGGTCGTGCAAGCTGGTAATCCTTCGCAATCCACTGCATTCCACAACATTGCCTTTTAAGGTGTCTGGGGTCCAAGCCGTCAACACCTTCGTCTCATCCCTGACGCTAGCGTTTATTGCAATGGATCGCGTCCTGTTGACGTTATGCCCCGTCAAATGGTAGGCCCTAATAATGGTCCCACCGATCCAATCGTCTTTCAGGCGTCTCGCCGCCACCGCGCCGATCCTCTGCTACATTTTCGTGTGGATCATCTCAATCTGCGTCGCGCTTCCCTACTCGCTTGCGGTCAGCTCAAAAATGGCGCCGTTCGATCCGTGGAACGATCGAGCCACACCGAAAATGGTGGCGTATTGCCACAAAAAGATTCCGGAGATTTGCGCCGAAATGCATGAAGCGTGGGACAACGCGATCGTCTCGAAGACGACGTACACGTTCGTCGTGCTCGCCATCCAATACATATTGCCGTTGGTGGCGCTCGCCTACGCCTACTTCCAAATCGGCTCGACAATTCAGAGGCGCTCGAAAGCGTCGACGTCGCGCACTGTGGATACCGCGAGACGGATGCACTTGCAGAATCGCAACAGGTAGGCCTCTCGTCAATTCTGATTGACCCATCGATCGCAGACGCGCTCTACTCCTGTTGTTCCTTCTCGTGCTGACCTACGCCGTTTGCTGGGCGCCAATGAACATCTACCATGTGCTGAATGGCCTTGATATCATCAATTACTCGCAGACAATGTGAGGGACCCTCTAGAATCCATCGAAAAAAAGTCTCTTCAGGTACATCTTCTGCCATCTCGTCGGAATCTCATCGGCGTGCGTCAATCCGATCGTCTACGCCCTTGTGAACGAATCATTCCGGAACGCCCTTCATTCAATGGTCCGTTATTCCTAAATCAAATAAGAAGCATTCCTTGCTTTCAGGTCATCTCGTTCCGGCCATGCTATGTCACCACGGCGAGCACGGCCCCAACAAATATGTACGCGTATTCAGGCACAACCAAAGCGGACCATGTCACTCTAGTAAGCGTTCGAAATGGGGTATTAGCCGAGAATTAGAATTCGTTTCAGATGCGCGACCAATTCTCAACGCGAGAACGCTCTGAAAATGTCTAGCCTAGCAGCATTGTTTAATTTATTGAATTACGGGTGCACTTATGCCTACATTTTGATTATTTATGTGCCGAATTCTGTCATTTATTGTTCTTGTTATTTATTATACAGGTTTGGGAAATAAATTTGCAATTTTAAAACTTGACAAGTTCAATGTGATAGGGCAGTGATGACAAAATTAAAAATAGTATTTATGAATATTTTTTTGAATTTTGAATTGCCGCATAGAATGGAAAGAATCACCCAAATTTGGTTTTGAGGATTTCTTTTGAACATCTCAGCCAGTGGATTTCAAATCTTAAAATTCATTCATTCGCAATAATATTCTTCGCATTTTTTTAAATTGCATCTAATTAATTTAATTATCTTTTCATATTGCCGAAGAAATTGGGCAAATTTGAATGATCAAGCCATTTTTGGTCTTAATAAACCAATTTTCGCACGCGCCTTTAATATATACTGTAATTTTCAATGTAGATCAAATTGAAAAATGATTAAAATACCATGGCGCCGAAATTTGAATAATAAGCAACGCCCATCGAAATTCATTCGAATCTTGACGATATATTAATATGTGTGTTATAAAGAAAATCGGCGAAACACTCGAAAAACCTATGAGTTTCTTTATTTCTAATCGGACTCCTCCAAATTATCGGCGATCTTCTGAAAGATCTTCCATTTGATAGATTTGTGTGCGAAATCTATTTGAAAAGAAAACCCAAAATTCAATTTTTTGCATTGCGATTCTCTTCCAATCGATTGATAATTTCTAGTTGTCTAGAAATGACCCTTCAAAATTTTAGTCACTTACTTACTTAGCCACTTAGTCGGTTCGTCCTTCGCCTGTTGAGGCGCTAACCACAGCTTTCCAAGCTTTTCGGTCCTTGGCTTGGGTGGACCAGGGGGTGATAACGGCTCCTTCAGCTGTTCTTGTAGTGATCTCCTTCCGAAGCGAGTCAGACCATCTCATGGGAGGCCTTCCCATGAGATGGTCTGAGCGGGTCCAATTCCACGGCCGCCACTACGTTAGAAGAGAAGTCCATCTTCCATCTGTTCTTCTAGCAACGTGTCCAGCCCAGGTCATCTTCCTCTTCGTGATGTGGTGTAGGGGGTCCCGAACTTTAGACATGATGCGGATGTCCTCTCGATGAAGATCTTGTTCACGTTGTTGTGATAACGTGAGGCCAACCAATCTTCGCTCAAGCGCAGCGTGACTAATTCGGACTCTTTCGGCAAGAGCTTTGGTGAAGGTCCAAGTCTCTGATCCGTAAGTCAGCGCTGGGAGAACGATGGAATCGAAGAGCTGTGCGCGGGTTTTGTTACAGGAAATCAAATCGGTGGTGTTCTTGATTCCATTAAACGCTGCCCAAGCTGCTCTTCTCCTTCGGAAGATCTCCTTGACTAGCTCGTTTTTGGGGGTGAGTAGTCTTCCAAGGTACACGTATTCGTCAACGTCGTCAATGATACTGACCGAATTCTGGTGACATTTTGCATATCAGTAATATATTGGGTCTGTGGGGGCGTCGTCCACTTTTTCAAAATCAAGGATTGAAGCAAATTTTCTTGTTAATAATACAAAATTTATTTAAAAAAAAACAACACTTTTTGAATTGTAAGAGGGCTGACCTCAAAAAAGACACCAGGGTAACGAGACCCAGAGGGCTGCTACATTTTTACTTTTTTTGACTTTTTCACTTTAAAAATGCATTATTTCTTGTAATTTTTAACTTTTTTTTATTGCAGCCCACTTTTCGACACACACAAAGATAAAAAATTAGAAACCATAAGGAACAGTAGTAGTATTGTTGAAAAATGACAAATGTATTCAGGTGTCGTAGGATCCTGCGTTTTGTACGCAATGCTAAGAGACAGTTACCGTAATCCTCGCAGCGATTTACGGGGACTTTTTTTTTAAATTTCGCATACTCATTTTTTTATTTTTCGCTCAACTTCCGTATTTCCCTTTGAAATTTTGTTATTTATATTTTGCAGAAACCGAGTTTAATAATTTATTTAGCAGAATAAGCACTTTTAAACGATATTTTTTTGGCAAAAACAGCAGAGATTTTAAAGAAAACATTTTTGTCATTAATCGTGTTTTGCTTTTTGTATGCGTTTCTATTATCTTGTTGTTGTATTTTTCATTTTCAAAATAATTTTTAGAGCGTCCAAATCTTAACAATTATTCCCAAATCAACTGGACAAATGGAAAAGTGCATATTTTGAAAATTAAATAATTAAACTCGGTTTCTACAGGTTTTAAATATAAGATTTCTAAAAAAAAAATAAGAAAATTCAGCAAAAAAATTGAAAGAAAATTTAAAAAAATCTCCGTAAATCGCTGCGAGGATTACGGTAACTGTCTCTTAGCATTGCGTACAAAACGCAGGATCCTACGACACCTGGATACATTTGTCATTTATCAACAATATGTATTAAAATCGCTGCGTTCTTCTCATGATTTCTAATCTTTCAATTATCATCTAAAATATACAATTGTCGATCCAAATGCGTCCAAAATTGTAGTAAGCCTATGGGAAAAGTGTGCCCTTTCCGTTATCGCACAACTCGTTGCTTATCAACTACAACTCCCTTCTCTCCGAGATTCATTTACTTGTTGTGGTCCGTACGCCATGAGCCTGCTCGTCGTTCTTCTATTCCTACCATTTTTGTCATTCAATTCAGAATGTCGAATATTGCGAATCGATAAAGGAAAAATCGAAGGTGCCGAGAGGGTATTCGAAGGCAATCGATATTATCTATTCAAGGTTTTGTTATCTTTTTTAATTTTCAAAAAAATACGATTATTTTAAGAGAATCCCATTCGCTGCACCACCGCTCGGCAAATTGAGATTCCAGAAAGCGGCAGATGTGAAAAACTGGAAAAATGTGTGGAATTCGACCGGTAACAACTACTATCATTAAATCATTGCAATTTTGCAACACTTAGAATATGGTCCGGCTTGTATGTCAAACTCATCGGTGACGAAAAGCCCCCAAAAATGGGTCGACGAGGATTGCCTTCATACGAATGTGTTCACCTCACAAGCGTGTTTGGTAAGACAACCAGCAGAGACGTCCGCAGATGTGAACGTTTAGGAGACGAAGAAGAACTGCCCGGTCGCATTCTACATTCATGGCGGCGGAATGAATTATGATTCGGCGGTGATGTTCAATGACACAATGCTTCTCAAAACGTTTGTATCCAAGGGTAATTCGTCGCAGGGATGCTGCAATTTTGAATATCTCGAATTTTTATAGACATTGTTCTTGTGATCAGCGCATTCCGTTTGGGAATCTTCTCCCATTTCATTGTTAATGATCAATCGGTGGCACCACACAATATTGGAGTATTTGGTTTGTAGATTTACGTTAATTACTTAAAATAGAACCAAAAAACATAATATTTGAGAGCACGCAAATATTTTATTACTTTATTTTTTTTATCTTAATTATTTTTAAGTAAAATTTATGGTAGCGCGCGAAAATGTGTGCAAACATCGCAACGCAAAATCACAGACCTCTATTGAATTTTTTTTTAGATTTTCACCAGCGCATCCACATTTTTTTGTTTTTTTTCAGATATTTTAAAGGGTCTTCATTTTGTCCATGACAATATCAAACATTTCGGTGGGGATCCCAACCGTGTTACCCTATTTGGCCACTCATTTGGCGCTTCGGTGGCTGGATTAATGGGATTCAGTCCAGCAGTGGATCCGCAAAACAAGTGAGAATTTTATGAATAAACCGAATTATTATTTTTTATACTCCTTAATTCAGATTGTTCCATCAGATAGTGTGCATGTCGCCTGCCATCTCATTCTACCCACTTCGGACAGCTATTCAGAACACCTACGAGTTCGCCAAGCAGATAAATGTACTCGTTTTTTTTTGTTGTTTTCTTATCTAAAATACTTTTTGCGTAATTTTCAGTGTTCACCTCCAAAAAAATTGAGCCAAAAGAGCGGAGAGCAGTTCATGTTGGAATGTCTCCAATCAAAGGATCAAATGGAATTGCTACAGTAAGACGGAATCATTATTATTCTGATATTATTATGGTCCCGATTCAGAATGCAACACAAGTTGGATGACAGTGGAGCAGCTAAGTTCCTCGGATTGATTCAAACTCTACCATTGTTTGAAGGAAATATTGCGTATGAGGCATTCAAAAAACCAAAGGTCCGTCATCCTCCACCAATATTTTTTCTTAGAAATCCAATCTTTTATAGAAATTGGCATTGCTTACTGGAACCACTCGACAAGAATTCGAGCGATCACTCCATCAATTGCCGGTTGGCAATCTCATTGATTTCAAAAATCAGGTTGAGGTTGATTCGAAGTATCGCAAAGATCTCAAAAATGGAAATACCAGTAAGAGCTCTCCTCATTGAATGGTCCCGAAACAGATTTCTTGTAGAGTTTAATTATACTGATGACACCTTGGAGGTCATGATTACCTCGAGGGTTATCGCTAACAAATTTAGTGAGCCTGGATCAAAGGTTTGTCAGTTTTCTTGCAAAAAAAAATTTCAAATTATTATTGAAGGCTTTTATGTATCAATATCTTTACCCAAAGCATAATCATCACACCGATGATCTCGCTTTTATCATGGGAGTTCATGCATTCGAGCAGGATGAAAACGAGCAAGTGCTCGCCGAGCTCTATCCGAAATATTTCACAAATTTCGTCAAATATGGCAATCCCGATAAAGGTTGAATATTTATAAGAGTAACTCCGTTTTTTTTTTCTAGTAATTGATAAAATTTAGATTGGAAACCGACGAATCAATTGACGAGGAATTACTTTGCGATCGACTGGAATTCAACATCGGGTCTTAGACCACATATGGAAGATTATTATGAGAAGGAGGTTGATTAAATGATATTCACGATCATAAAAAGACTATTTTAGGTTTCGAAATACTGGCTGGATGATATGAAGGTGTATGATAAGTACATAACCGCAAAGAAGGTTGAGAATCGAATCAACATTTTCGAAATTCACAAAAAAATTCAGAAAGTCAGCGTGCGATCTCTCGAAACATATCATCAAACTTCGAATTTCTATAATTATTGGATATTAGTTGGCCTCATTTTCGTTTTGGGAATCATTGTCGGAAGATACACGTGTAGATCAAAACGCAATGTCTACATTCGATTGAACGGCTATGATTATCAGGAAGTTGTGAAGCCGTTTTGAATTGCATATCATCGGGATTTTTAATTGGCTTAAAGGTTTTTAATTATGCGCCTTTAAAAAAGAGACCAAAACATCACAGCTTTTCCAATTTCTCATTGGCCAGTTTTCCGAATAGACTCGATACCGAAAAAATTGAAACCCAATAAAATATTTTCGAATTTCGAAAACTCTTCAAATACTTTCAAAAACCACTAATGTCGGGCTTAATATGTTCAATTTTTAATTTCAAAATTTTAAAAATTCAAATAAATTAACACTGATGAATTTTTTTAGTAAACTGAATTCAATAGCTAAATTTAAAAATAAAACTTAATTAAAGAAAAAAATTAGCCGGGTCTCGCGGCGACCAACCAGACACCAGAAAATACGATGAGAGAGGGCGAGAAGTCGTCGAATATTGTTTTATGGATTCACGCCAGTCAAGGATTTCAATCGGAATCTCACGATGAATAAATACACGAGAGATTCGGATTCTGAATCGAAATCAGCACAAAGTCTTCGTCATTTTCGGTGGTAAAGCTCTGTTTTTTTTTTCAAAATTATTCTCACACAACAATTAAAATAATTGTATTATGCTTCGTTCAAATAGCGATCCTCAAACACAATCGTTTTTCCGACCGTCGGCGGATCAAAGTACATATTCTCCCATTTGATCGATTTCGACGAATCAAACTGTGTGATGAAGAAGCCGTGATCAAAGATGAGCGTTTGTGAGTCGATCGGCTCCGTGCATTTCGACGTCATTTCGCTGGAAAAAGAATGAAACATGATGATGGCGACATTTTAGACAAATCGCTCACCGATCACCATTATCATCAATTATTCGCACTCGGTTGACGTAGAGCTGCGATTCATAGGGCATCAGGAAATAGCCGGCTCCGTGCTTTTTACGAAGCTGAAATAATCACCGTCATCTTCATCTCGTCGAGACCTCAACCAACCTCCATCAATCCAAACAGTTTATCATCGTATTGATAATCGACGTCGTCGGTGTACAACGACTTGTGAAGTGGTTTCACCGCGATTGACACATAGACATTTTTCGATTGTTGGCCGACCATCGGACAACTCGACGATTCCGCTTTGCACACGGCGTTTCCAATAATCTAAACCGATTCAATTCGTCGCCTCGCGCCCACAATTCCGCCGCTCACTTTTCCCTTATCATTCGTGTAGAGGATGCGAGCGCGAAGCACCTTGAAGTGCGTTGCCGATTCTCTTGAATATTTTGGACATTTCAAACCATTGAAATCGATTTCGAACTGAAAATGTCGCGTTTTTTTTTCTCAAAGGCACCGCGACGGACTTTTTATTCACATCAGAGGTGAGCAGAAGAAAAAAATGTCTTCATTTCTATTTGATTTTAATTTTTTTTCAAAAAAAAAAGATATGACGAAAAGACCTTTAGCCAACACAATTCGATCATTAAGAAATTTTTCAATTTTTTTTCTACTTGAGCCTTTAAACGTCGACAGCAGGATTGTGTGGAAAAGTCCAAAAAGCCTTAGGAAAAGCACATCGTCCAATAAAAAAATCGATTTTATTCAAATAAAACACCACCAAAATAAAATTGAACGAGACCCCGCCATTAATTTTCGCTGCTAGATATATTTTAATGTGTTCCCATATGCGCCTTTAAACATAGACACTAATCTTTTCTTGGAGTTTTTTCGTGACATTTCCTCCCCCCCTCGCCTGATGCTTGTTTCATTCTTACATGAATTGCTCCCGCGTTGATTGTGGTGATGCTCACGACGAGAGCAATTAGAGACAAAATGAATCGCATTGAAGAAGCGCTAAATATCTGAAAAACCGCACATCATCCGCATCAATTCCAATCGCAACGACTCACGTTCAGAATTTACAGGCTATCACCAATTTGTTGAACTGATTGCGATGATGAATCGAGATGATGCGATGTGTCGAATTCCGGCCATCACGTTCAACAATATCGTTTCAATAATTTTTACTATCCAAATAAGGCGCAAATATTCTTCTATAGCATTTTCTTTTTCTCATCTTCCCAAAATCTACGGTATTTGATAATCGAATATTTTACACTAATGAGTTCTATCCGAAAATCCCACTCATTACGATTCTACTAAAAACGGTGAATTGTAATTATAATCATTCGATTAATCCGAACTCATAAGATTGCATTGTACAGATATCTTTATGATCACGATGAGTTCAAAAAAGAAAAATAAAAGACAAGGCTAGATGAAAACAAAAACTGTAGAGATTTTACGTCGAGAAAAAAACATACCGGTGTCAAAATTCAGCGAAATTGGCTTCAAAGCACTAAAAAGAGGAGAAAACACGAAGAGTAACAATGAAGGAAAGAAAGATTATAAAGAAGAGATGAAAAGAGAAGACGTTTTAGTTCAAAATCAACAAAATCAAAGTAAAATGTTAAAAATTAGAATTAAGACAACAAAAAATTATGCCACCACAGTGAAAAAAGAAACCTGAACAACTTATTTCCGAAAAAAAATAACAAACCAAACCCCTAATGAGGAGGCGGCGGATAATTCATATTATATATCGGTGGCGGTTGTATCGACGACGGCGGCTGCGGATACATCATTAGATTCGTCGGCGGCATACCCGGCAACGAAGGAGGTGGAAGTGAAAAGTTGGGCGGCGGAGCCGTCTAAAAATCGAAATAATAGCAAAAATAAGGTATTGGGTTGATCAAACCCAAAAAAAAAACAATCGAAACGAAAATCACACTACGAAAATTAAAATCAATCTTTGTTTTCACGAAATCATACAACGTCTAAACATAATGCATATGCAAATAATTCGAAACTTACAACATCGCACGGGAAAGGCACAATCGGCGGCGGCATTATTTGATTCACTGGCACCGGGGACGTCATCGACGGCGGCGGCTGCGTTAGTGGCGGCATGATTCGCGTCGGAACAATCGGCGGCGGTGGGATACTCGTATTCGGTGTCAGTATCACTTTCGGCACTTGGTTCACAATCAGCGGGCTGTTCATCGCAGGCGAGTGTTGAACGGATTCCGACGAAACTGCGCCAGCCACTCCACGCTGACCGTTCATTGTCACCACAAGGGGTTTCTGAAAATAATGAGGGTAACTTGAAAAAAAAACGGTTAAAGGCAATCTACTCACAGTGAAGTCTCTAGTTTGAGGTCCAGAAGGAATTTGATGAGTTGATGGTGGTGGCATATCATTCCGTTTAACCAAATCTAAAAAATTCAAATAAAAATGAGAAAACTAAAAATTGACTTACTAATGGTTGTGGTGGTGCTAACTGGCGTTGTCGAATTCAACACCGGCGACACTTTGACCGAATTCGTTCGCTCTTCAGTCACCGTCAATTGAACATTGCTAAATGTCGATGGGAACGTGGTGTGCGTAATATTCATCTGAAGTTCGCCATTTTTCAAAATTAATTTCGATATTTTACCGGTCGATTGTTCGAGTTGTCATTGATTGCGGCATGCGTCGTATTCGACAGCGGCGCCGCATTTGAGCCGCTCAAATTCGAACTATTCTGATTATAGTTGTTTGTCGGATTGTAATTCGTCGAAACCGACAAATTATTTTGGTGCATTCCACCACCGCCTCCGCGACGTCTATTTCCATTCGTCACAAGCCAAGATCGACAATCCATATTCATTCTAATAAGAAAAATTGTAAATTAGTTGTAAATCAATTAAAAACTTACTTTTGGACCCGCTCAAACGCCAAATGCTCAAAAGGCGGAGCTGGATCAATGAAGATCACTTCTTCGCAAGGATCATTCTCCAATGTCGGAATCGACATCGACGCCTTATGCGTCATCAGCGCATCCGTGTCAAGCTTCTCATTCTCCTCATGCTCCTGCTGAATGAGCCTCTTCAGATGGCAATCCTCGTCGGGCACAAAAATCATGCATTTGCGGTTGAACTCCTCGAACGCCATCAGTTTTCGTTTCCTCTTGTCATGAATACAGTTCGTCATGTCCAACATATAGTTTTTCCGTCGTCTCGGCGCCAAATTGACCAATCGCGCCATTGATTTTCCAATGATTCCCCGCAAAAAGTCGGGTCGTTTCAGCGACGGCAGGCGATTTCGCGGCACACCGTTGACACGCATCGCGTCCATCACCATATCGGCGTTGATAACAGTCCAATTCTCGTGCGGGTGCTCGGCGAGATACCGTCTGACCCATGTCGTTTTTCCAACACCCGGCAAACCGACCTGAATGCGATGAATTTAATAAAAAGCTTAAATAAAAGAAAAAAATAAAAGTCTCGTATAGACAAAACAACGGTTTCCAAAAAAACGTTTTTTTTTTTGTTTTTTTTTTGTCATAATAGAAAGACGAAATATCATATTTTTAACGATTTTTAAGTTGATTGTTAACAAAATCGGTTTGTTCCAATTAGCACAATCCCGCGTAAATTAAAATATTTTCCATTCGGAAAAAAAGCTAACCGTCATTAGAACAGTGCAATCCGCTTTGGACGCCGGAGCCCCTCGACTCTGAACCAAATGCTCTTTATCAATCTCACTGATCATCATCCAATCTCGTTCTTTCGGCCTACAAATCTCAAGAGAATTCAAATTCTCGCCGGCAAAACATACACATTCCATTTCTCATCGGTCGACAATCCCATGTTCACGTTGACATTAGTATTTTTAACGCAAATCGTCGGATAGATCACATCGTCATCACGAAGCACAATATTCTCATAAGCAGTTCCCATCGGCTCATTGTTCTTCAGATAAGAGATGCTCTTCTTTTCAAGATCCTGCAACAAGAAAAATTCCAATCAATTGATATCCTAAATTCGGCTGAAAACGTACCAAAATGCATGTGACAATGTCACCGATATCAAATTTGCTTCCAAAATCATAAAAATGATTGTTGGTGGCCTTTTTGCCGGAAGCCGAAACACACCACGTTCCCGAATATTCTCCAAGCTGCAATAGAGCAACACATTTAAGACCATGATATTCGAACAAATAATTACCACAAGCGGAGCTGTCGCTAATGAAAATCCAACGCGAACATCACCAGTCTCAGAGATGAATTCCGTTGGAAGATGTTGAATCGATTGGAATAATTCGATTTGAATTTGGAATCCGATTCTCGCCATCGTTTCGCCTTCCTTCTTTCTACAAAAAAAAACAAATAAAATAAGAACTTTTCAAAAACTGGGCATAAAATATCGATTATTTAAGAAATTCTACATGATAAATTCAGAAAAATCTTACACAAATGGAATTTTGATGCCGAAATTTGATCGTACACCTCCCCACATCAACGCGAGACCATCTTGCGAGAATGGCTCAATCATCCAAATATCTTTTTCAGCACTTTTAATGTGAATATTCGCATTATCTGAAAATGTGCAAATTGTGCAAAAACAAATTTATAGATTAGGAAACATACAGAAATCAAGCTCGAGCTCATCATTCGATGTAACTCGCTCCTCCTCAGGAATCTGCACCAAATTTTTCTTTTCCTTTTTCTTTGCTGGCTTGATTCCGGCAGCGATCTGAAAAAAAAAACAATTTCATTAAAACATTGAGAATCATATAAGAAACCTCGAATAACTCATTCTCATCAACTTCCGGCACCGGATCTCCATGATAATAAACTTCTTCGGCATTTTTCTCATCGTCCTTCGATTTTGCCGCCGCTGCAGCTTCCTCCTCTGTCGTCTCATCGACCATCTGCGCATACTTATCCTTCGGCGCACTTTCTTCATTTTCAGCGTTCGTTAGCGATTGAAGGACAGGAAGAGCGAGATTCAAAAGCTCTCTAGGGTTCGATCTGAACAAAAAAATAAATTATCAATAAAACCCCGAGAAAACGCCTACATTTTGGTCAAATCAGTAATTTCTTCGATATCTTTTTCGCCTTGCTTCTCACCGATTATTTCAATATCGTCATCATCATTCTCATCATCGTCGTCGATGTCGATACATTCAATTTCTTCCTCAACCTCATTTTCAATCTGAAAAATGGGAATGAAAATAATTGTTCAAAAAAATTAGATTTCTACCAAGGTCGTCGATGGGACATATTCATAAACCGTAGTTTCCTCCTCAACCGTATTCTCACAAGGATCATATTCACCCTAGAAACAGAAAATAAGCTAATTAAAGCCCCACATGATTTTTACCTCATCATCATCTATCATTATTATTTTCCGTTGTTTTGATTCAGGCTCTTCTTTTTCTTCTTCTTTCTTCATACTCTTTATTGGAGGTTCCACAGCTACTACAGTATCCCGAATGACGAAACACGAATCATTTTCTTCGACAGTTTCTTTCGTCTCACCAATTTTAGTTTCGTCACTTGGTTTTGGTTTACTAGAACGAAAATGATCATCATAAACAAATTTCAATTTCAAAAACCTTTCAACCAGAGGTTCATCGGGTAATCGGACTTCCGCGAGAACTTCCTCATCTCGGATAACTTCAACCTTAACCTAAAAGAAAAAACCTAGTCAAAATTTTCCTCAATAATTACGAACATTTCGTGGTATGGTTTTGATTGGCGGAGGTGGCGGTGGCGGAGGTGGTATAACCTCAATTTTTGCCTCTTTTTTCACAATCTTCGGAGGTGGTGGCGGAATTTTCGGCGGAGGTGGTGGCGGAGAGTCTTTTCGCGGAATCTTCACAAGTGACGGGTGCTCTTTCTGTAATTATTTTCGAATATTTAAAAGACCAAATCTTATTTACTCAAAACCTTCAAATATGGCGCGTACAGTTTCTGATTCGCAAGTTCCGGCGGTGGCTGATCGAATCGCGATTTTCGTCGAACTCCTTGAATCGGCATCGGCGGCATAACCAACATCGGTCCCGTGGGCGGAATAGAAGGAATCGCCAGAGGAGCAACCATCGGAGGAATCATTGGGGGTGCTAAAGGTCTAGACTTCGAAATCGCCGGTGGTGGTGGCGGCGGTGGCGGCGGCGGTGGTGGTGGAGGTGGCGGCGGAGGAGGAGCACACAGGACAACCGTCGACGGCGAAGATTTCGCATACGGCGAGAATGTCGTGTGCGGTGACATTTTTGCAATTGGCTTAATATCTATCGACACTAAAAAATAACAAAAAAGTAACAAAAATCGAATTCTCGAAAATCTTACATCGCTTAGTAGCTTCCGATCCACCTCGTACTCTAGCACTTTCGACGCTATCCCTTCGTTCCCCTACAATATGCGATATATTCAATTATTTTATTTAGATTAAGCTAACTTGTTGATTTCTCCTCTTTTGGCTTGGACAAAGTTGACGACATCAAAGCAGCAATCTTGTCAATCTAAAAAAAACAATTAAAGAGAAAACATTCAAAAATCTATTTACCTTTTCCAGATCAGAGTCATCCTTCTTCTGAACGGGCTCCTTCTTCTTAACAGTCGTTGATGGCCCAGCTGAAGCCGGCGCTTTCCCATTACTAGCTGGCGGAGTTGAATTATTCGTAGTCGTCGTGCTTTTCGACTATAGTCCAAATTCAAATTCAATTTTGTAAAATAAACCAAATTACCTCCGCCAATTTCTCCGCCCATTTCGCCCTCCAGTCATTCGGTTTGATTTTCGGAGGAAATGAGTGAACCGACGTTTTCTTTTTAACAGGAGGCTCAGAGGAATTCGAATTCTGTATAAGTTTTTAGTATCGAAATTGTTTAGTGTGAGGCTCACTTCATTCAGACTATCCCTGGGTCGTTTAAGCACTGGTTTTGGATCATCACTAGTTGAAGATTCAGGAGAGCCAGATCCATTAATGCGATTTGCAAACTCCTAAATTCTTATACATCACCAGATTAATAAATGACATCATTATGCCTTTATTCGGTCGGGCTCCAGCTCATCATCAGAATCAATTTTGATTCGATGTATCACCGCTTGTCGTTTAGCGCGTTTTGGCACCTTTCCATCACCAACCGTTTTTTGCTCCACGCTTTCCGGAACATAGTCAACATCATCATTTTTTAATATTTTCTCCTTTACAATGAATGACACGTTAAATTCTAAAAATTTCAAAAATTGTGTACCTTTTTCTTTTTCAATTCCGATGACTTTCGTGGCTTCTTATTTGGTTCAATTTTCTGAAATTACATATTAGAATTTTTAAAAAATAATCCAATACCTCATTTTTTGGGGCTAGCTTTTCCAAATGAGGTATCATATCATCATCGTCGTCTTCCGTCGAATTAGCACCTGTCGATTCCGTATTTTCATCAACAACCGTGGATATCTCCACTTCTGGTTGTTTTTGTTGTTTCGACAGTTCTAATTGTTTTTGCTCGTCTTCCTCAACTGGCTCTTGTTTTATCCGAACTTCATCTTTCACCCTTTTCGGTGTCGACTTTTTTGCAGGCGCCTTTTTCGGCGTCGTCGGCTGCTTGACTTCAGGCTCCTCAACCGTTGATGTCTCCGGAGTTTCGTCATTCGGTTCGTCTTCAACTTCAGTTTTAATCTCTTTCTTAATTGACCTTCGTCCTCTGGGCTGTGGAGTCTTTTTAGGCGTTTTAGTCTAAAAAAAATTAAAACTTAAAATGCCTAATAAGTATTTAACTTACAGCTGAACTAGCTGGCGTCGAAGGTGCCGATTCGGTTACACCATTCACTAGAAAATCATATAATCGATCAGATAGAGCCGATTTGGTTCCACTTGTATCCAACCCCCTTTCTGATAATTCCTAAAATTCAAAAAAAAAACGTAGATATAAATTATTTCACATTTTCAAAACTCTACCTTAACTAATCGATTTTTATCCAAAAGAGAAATTGTGGCAATATTTAGTGAATTCGTGGCGTTTGCGCCACTTCGTCGTGACGATCGTGACGCCATGATCACGTGGTTTACTGAATAAAACTAGGTTTAAAATGTGAAAAATGAATAATCAAAAAATCGAGCCCTTTGTTTAGAAAAATACGGAAGCGTTAAAACATGCCAAAGCTCGAAAACATTGAATCGATTTAAATTTGAAACTAAATGTCCCAAATATTCCTATTAGTGCTAATGAGAAAATTAATGACGTAATTAAATCAATTTCACAAATTTTTGACTTTCTAAACGGCTCACTCAACTTGTAGAACGTTTTAATAGCCTAAAACAATCAGAATGGCAAAAAATTGAAAGATACAAAGGATTTTGAAAAACTCGAATTGCACTCATGATTTACGCATGCTACATTTAACTGGCGCACTTTTTGCGCGCTGGCGCATTTTCGGTGCAAATGCGCGCGCGTTCAAAAAGTGTCAGTCCAACGTTGCTGTGACGCGTTTTCTAGAACATTTCGCAACTGCCGCCAAATTAACGGAAGCCAATCATTCTTTGATTGATCAATCCTTACCTAGCGTCACGCAGCGCAGACGAGACGGTTCTCATAATTTCACGCATCCCCCTTAAAAATCGGTTGAGTAAATACGTTGAATGCCGCTGAGATATTTATTGCGATGAGAACTTGTTGTGACGAAGCAAACTGATGCAATATTAGTTAAATATTCATTTATCAGAAACAATTCAACAATGAAGATGTTATTTTGGCTCCTAGATTTTGTTGAAGGCGACGATGTCGACAGATTGAACGTGCGATTCGAAATCTTCGGTGATCTTGTCGATGAGATCGTCAACTGAAACTTTAGCGTCCTCGATGACGCAAATGATTTGTAGCTTCTTGATTCCATATCCAATTGCAATGAGCTTGCCACCTCCCCAGACGAGTCCGTCCATTTCAATTCCGCGTACCAACTTCTCCATCTCGGCCAAATCGGTCTCATCGTCCCACGGCTTCACGTCAAGAATGACCGAGGACTTGGCGATCGGTCCTGGCTGAAAAACGAAAATTATGCAAATGAATGATGTTTTAAATATATTTTGAACCTTCTTCGACTTTTTCTCAGCGTAAGCCTTCAGTCTCTCTTCGGTGAGCTTCTTCTTCTCCTCATCATCTTCTTCTTCATCGGATCCGAACAAGTCGAAATCATCATCTTTATCATCTTCCTTCTTGGCTTCCTCCTTAGCTGGAGCAGCTTTGGCAGCTGGAGCTCCCGTCTGAAGTTTGATATAATTATTTTTTTCTAATAATTTCAAAACCTTCAAATCAGCAAGTTCTTTTTGAAGTTGGCTAATAAGAGCGGTCAATTGATCAACCTTGCTAGCGAGAGCAGCATGATCCTTGCGCAACGATTCAATATCTAAAATCACATATTTCAGCCTCAATTGATCAAAAACATTTATACCGCCATTTGAAGCAGAGCTTTCTCCCTTCAAAGCCTTATTGGCAATCTTCTTGGCGTTTTGAATAGCGTGATCGAGTTCGTTCTTCTTTCCTCCTAAACAATCAAGTTTACAACGATTTAATTTCAAGTATCATACCCTTCTTGTGATCAGAAGTAGATGGTGTAGCGTGGAAATCGGAGTAAACGTGCTTTCCACCATAGAAAACCTGCTCGCCTTGAGCAACTTCCAAGTGGTGAGCGTTGAAGCGGCTAACCTCACTAAGAAGACCGTCGAGAGACATTTTACCCTAAAAATCGATTAATTAATATGATGAAAACAATTTTCAGTATTTCGTCAAATTGATATGAAATTAATTTTTGACGAAAATCATTAATCGATAACGCTTTATTATCAAAAAACTGCAAAAAATGAACGTTTAGGAAAAATGAGGAAATGAATTTTGGCAAAATCGCGGCGAGAGTCGGCGCGAGAAAAGCGACGTGCGCCTTATGCGCCACTGTGTACTCCCCACGGACATCGTTCAAATATATTTCCCAAATTGTGGAAAATGCAAATTCTTTGGTAATTCGGCAATAAAATTTTCAATTATTTGTAGAAAATATTATAATTAAATAATCTAAACTACTTTTTGAAAATATTAAAAAGAAAACCAAGAAATCGACAGACTTCCAAATCAAATTAATCAATATTTTTACGCGATAAAAATTAAAATTTATTTTCAATAACACAAAAATGAAACAGATAATTTATTTACACATTCAATACTCTTCGCTTTCAAGTTCTTCCCGATCATCATTAATTATTTCACCGTCGATATTTCTGCTGCGCAGCAAACCCACCGTAAAAGCTTCCAAGCATTTATTTTTAACCTTAATTCAATTTTTAAAAATAATTTGATTATTTCAAGTGCCAAACCATTGCAGAACGAATAACTCGCAAACAATTCTCATTCTCAGCGCGAAGTTCTGGGAACTTTTTGAGCAAATTCACACTTTTATGCTCCTAAATTTTCAATTTAATTAAACAATTTTTTGAAATAATTTTTTTAAAACCTTAGCATAAGTTCCAATCGACTGCAATACGCGATTTCCCTGCTGAACCGTCGAAATCGTCTTCTCAATCTTCTTGCAAATCACATTAAAATTCGAATTCTTCGAGATATTGTCAACAATGTGAATAAACGAACTGAAAATAGAAAATTCAACAAAAAAGGTAACTCCGCTTTTAAACCACAAAATACCTTTTCCTGGAAACATTCACAAGAAACTGTCGCCCTTCCTTAATCCCACTTGCCAATACAGCATTCGAACGAATCTCATTTACCCGTAAAAGGAGACAAAGTATGAGGAAGCAGGAAGACGCGTTCTCCCAATGTGTCATCGTCTTGAAAAAATACTAGTATTTTGCAAAATTTGAATGACATCATTAATCAAATAATTATCTTTGCATATTTTCAATTTTTTCTTTACAATTAAATCAATTACTATCGATTTCTCGGTTTGCGAAATTTTTTTGAAGGCGCATACGGGAACTCTTAACAAAATAATCTGAAAAATTTAAAGATTTCAATTTTGCCAAGGACCTAATTGGTTTTTATCTAATTTCTGGCAAAATTGCCCATATTCGGATCGCTACCTCTTCTTCCGTGATTTGTCCATTTTTAATCGCCGACTCTTGCATATAATATTTGCAAGTACACGCATTGAGCATCGCGAACAACGTCTTGAACACGTTCGCAAATGTCTGCTTGTTGATGCAATGGAAGATCGCTTCATCCTCATTCCTCTCAACAAGATCATCGTCGGATTGTTGGGAGAACATCACCGATTTTCGTTTCTTGTCATCAGGAACCTGAACAAATCAATGATGAGGGCTTTTTATTGTGAATAAAACGCTCACCAATTTAACGACCTTATTCGTCAAAATCCACTGAATCGCCATGATCTGCTCCTTCTCCTTTCGCAAACTCACATAGCTTTTGAGGATATCGCGAACGCACGTATTGAATTTCGCACCTTTTTCGACATTCCTCCAATCTTTTTTCAAATAAGCAAGCGCGAATTTCGCTGAAAATTTGCATGCAATTCGGTTTTTTTTTTCAAATTTGAATCGGCAAACCCATCGATTTTCTCATATCGGCATCTTCAATTTTCAACGTATTGAACAACTCCAAAATCAGGACCGCAATGATTGGCGTCGGTGCAAATTCGGCATTTGCGAGAATATACTTTCCAATTTCGATTTTCGCTGTCTCGGTTTCCAATGAAATTTGATTCTGACAAAATCAGCAGTGCTCCCGAAAAATTTCCAACATTCTCACCGTTTTCAACAAACATTTCTCAATAATTCGCAATAAAATCGAGCGTTTCTCGTTCTTCTCAGCGCTCGTCAGCTTTTCCTCGCTTCCGTACAGCTCTCCTTTCAGAATGAGATTGATCAACTGCAAGCTTCTCTGTCCAAGCTCTTCCATGTCCGCCTGCATTTTCGGTTGAATTTCCTCCGACGAATCTGCCAACGTGGTGAAGAATTCGTTCGAATTCTCGACTATCTTCCAAACTTCTTCAGTCGCCTACAAATATTTGTTAAAAATTTTGGAAAAAAAACAAAAATTCACCTTTTTTAAGCAACCCCAAACCGTCGCAAAATCTCCATGATAAAATTTTTCAGCTTTTGGCTTCGAAACTGTTCGCCCAAAATGCGATGTCTGAATTGGATGCGTAATGAGAAAAGTCCCAAACTTAAGGCCTCGACTTACTGTTTTATTTTTATTCCGAATAAGGTCTTGAAGGATATTCTGCAACTCACCGCATAGATAAATCAAGCAACTTCTTTTGCTTATCGTTAACTGAATGATCGAAATAATCAATTATACATAATTTGAAGAATTTTTTCGCTTTTCCTTACCGAAATTAGATGAACTACAGGTCTCAGCATGAATTGAGTCACATGTTGCGCTAACTGAGTTGCCAGATCTTCGCTTCCCAAGGCATCCTCTTCTTCCTCAATAGCTTCATTCTAAATTTCTTTTGACCTCAACACCTATTAAAAAAAAGAGAGAGATACATCGAAATATGAGCTCTCATCGCTTTTCCTTTTCCTCGCTTTTCGCTTTTTCAGCTGTTTAGCCGATACTATTGTCAACAGTTCAGATTTGAAGCACAATGTTGGGACATTCCATTCACCAAGCTCTACAAAATAGCATAATATTCACAAATTCATCAATTTTTCAAACTTTTGATCGATTCGATGAGCTTCTTCTCGCATTTCAACATCACATAGAAGATTCTGATTGAATTACGCGATATTGCCTCAGTGGAGAGAAAATCAATCTTATTCTGACTGAGGAAGGCGTTCAAAATCTGAAATTGTTATTCGAAATGGATATCGCAAAACTTTGATTTGTCATACCGTTCGACACCATTGAATTGTGAAGAACAACTGTCTCGAAATTTGAATTCTGTCATCATATTCTTCAAGAAGTGGGATGTCAGCTTCTGAATGATGAATTAATGAGAGAATTGGAAAAAAATTGCGATACCGAAGACAAACGTGAGATCCTTCAATGAACATGTCGACACTGCTGATCTCACCGATTCTTCTTCAACATCCTCATTCCATTTCTGACAAATCGCTCGCAATTCCTTGATCAAATTGAACATTGGCGCAACTTCGGCCATTCTCAATTGATCGGGCTTCCAAATATACCGAATCTCTCCGAATTGCACATTTTCACTTTCCTCGCGATTCTCTTCGAAAAACTCTTCTTTGAACTTCGATAGGAGCTTGTCTGCCCATTCGCTCTAAAAAAAGTAATAATTTTAATAGGAAATTTCGGTTTTTTTTCCTTACAATAAATCGAATTTCATCGGTCTTTTTATGATTTTTGATAACACTAGCCATTTGCTCATAGAATGCTCCACGAAGATTACTCGAATCACCAAAAGCTTCCTCGATTCTCGCGATATTATCACGAATTGAACGCTCTTGAGCCTCGCTTCTCCTTGAATTCCAGATCATTTAATTTTTCAACATTTCTTCTTTACCGCTTCTGCATATCCCATTGAATTTTAATCAATAGTGCAAGAATGCCCAAAAATCGCTCTTTCTCGTTGACAGCGAGAAGAAAACGATTAATGAGATCATCAATTTCGAACTGAAAATTCTTAAGTTTTAAGTGAATTTCAACAATTTCCCCACTTTCACTCCTCCATTCACATTTTTTTGCTCCGACAACATCACAATCACTTGAAACAATTTCTTTATATTCGAGATATTCAATTTTTGAATCGATTCGACGCATTGCTGGAAAAAAAACGGAACGTTCCGAACATTTGGTATACGGTGCACAATATTATGTCTGCGGTTCACCGAGTGTGCAAACACCATAAACACGACGTGTTACAACATTTTTGGATTGCACGTGCCTGCCATTCTCATCGATTTCTCGCTTTCAAAAGCGCTACTAAACACAATCATGGTATATGTAGATAAAAGTAAGTTTTTTAATTTCAGTTCTTCGAAAATAATTGTATTTTAGGTGGCAACATTACCGATAAAAAGCAGAAAGGAATCATTGAGATGATTACCGGCTTTTTCATGTTCATTTGGCTTTTGTAAGTTATCATTTCAATGTTTTCAATAAGTTGTATGTTAAAATAAAAATAGAGTGGAATTTTATTAATAGAAGTATTTTATAACTGGATTTTTGTTGAAATTTTCATTGGGAATATTCTATTCCTTTTACCCATGCAAACAATCTAAAATATCACAGAAGCTTTTCGATAAAATTCCGCGACTCAATAATATTGTCGACTTCAATTAATAAACTTTAGAAAGCAATTCCATTAAAATTTTTATACTTTTGTTTAAAAATTCCAATTTTTAAGAATGAATTTTCAGCATCCAATCGTTCCTGGGCCTCAGCACAAGACCTAATGGCTACACACCAACAGCAATCGATCACAGACAAGCATTGAGACACCGTGGAGGTGGCGGCGGCGGAGGCATCGGCTATCGTCCAGGAGACAATCAAGGCTTCCGCAGGAACATCGGCCGCCTTCCGGACTCCTCCGGCATCGCCCCTCCACCAATGGGTGGCGGTTGCTGCGGCGGTGGCGGATGCGGATAATCCAGTATTCGGGGATGAGCTAGACCAAATAAAAAAAAAACCCACAATCATACGGATATGTGCATAACTTTTGTTTTAAACAAATTATTCCGGGAATAAATAGTATCGGCTAGAAAATTACCTCAATATTCGTCGAAAATTTGAGAATAATGTCGGCATTCGATTTGGCGACTTTTAAGAGAACATCAAGAAACGCTTCACATTGAGAATCATCTCGATCAAAGTTTCTCATCATTTCATTGAAAGTTTTCTAAAAAAATGTTTAACTTTGAGGGGGAAAATGGTGCATACAGCTCTCGTATTTTCCATTCCAGCAAACAATTTTCGATAAATATTAACGCCAAGGTCCCGAACATTTTGATCAGGGGTCCATATGCATTGGCGAGCGATCAGATGAAGCGAGTCAAGATAAGTTTCGGAAAACTATAAGAAGCTCAAAATCCAACTTCTACAAAATCATACCTTTCTAAATGTTATGATAGTGTCGATAAGCTTCACGAACTTCGATGTCGCCGATGCGGCGATCGATGGAAGCCCGGTGATTTTTGAATTCACCGCAGTGATTAACGATTTTGGGCAGCAGTGCGACGAAATCAATGAGATTACAAGCATCGTTTCGAATGAATTCATCCAGTCAGTCTGAAATTTTAATTCGATGTCAAATATTAAAAAAATGGTGCTCACTTCGCCGGGATCATCTTCCTCCTTCACATCGCCATTTTTGAAGCGATTGAAAAATGATAGAACATATTTCCAGCCTTTCTTCTCCAATTGAAGATATCGAATGAATTCGGAGAATATCTCGCACACAATCGCCTCAATTGTGTATTTTCTGCAATCATTTGAAGCCATTTCAACTTGGAATTGGTTACTTGGAGCTCAATGCACTTTTGCGAATCGACTCCACCTTCAAATGTTTCGTCAAATCGGCCATAAGCTCATGAAAATAGAGCTCTTCGTCCTCATTCTTCACATTCGCCAATAGGGTCCCCAAGCAGAATGCCATAAGAGGCGGTAGGGCGCCGGAATCGATTTTCAAGCAAATTCCGCATAAATCGCGACGAATCTTCAAAATTTTTCAATTGAATGAAATTTATTAAAAAATTATGCTACCTGTCTTGCTACGGACGATTCCATTCGGAGAAGATTCAAAGTTTCAATAACGGCTAATTGAAAAGTCTCTGCATTTTGAATTGGGTCCTGAAGTGAAAATTTGTCAAAATGATTCAATTGTCCATTTTTTTTTTCGTCACATTGCTCTGGAGAGCTTCATTGAGTCGTAGAGCCGCATTTCGTTGAAGACTGGTTTCAGTGAAAATCTGAAAATTCGAGCATAATCAAAAAATGACGGCAATTCGAACCTCTGGCAACGCCGCAACAAGTTCATCCCGAATTTTCGGATTCCAATGGATAAACGGCATTTCAAAAACCAGATTAAATACGGGATTCGGCTCGAAAAGTCTTTCAAGATATCTCATATGTCCAATACAGATACTCGCCATTCTAAAATCTTCCTCATCGGTGCTGAAAACGTGTTGAAAGGTTCCCATAATTTTCATTATAAATTGGTTCACCTTTTCGCGAGTTTATTGAGGTTCTCGAGAAGAAGCTCAAACGATTTGGTTTGGCATGCTTCTGATAGCAAAAATGATCGAAATATAGTGTCTTGCTGGCCAAACTTTCTGAATTTTAAGACATTTTAAAACGAAATAAATTTTTTTTCAACTAAACTTACGATTGAGTTGGCGATAAATACAAGAATAAGAGCTCTTTGGTGAGGCATGCCGATGAAAATTGATCGAAAAGCGGATTTGAGCCGTGATAATTCGACATTTTTTCTTGAATTCTTCTTGTAAATCCTGCATGCGTCATATTATTCGCTGAAATCTCACTAATAGAGTGCAGTAAAAAAAATATGTATAGAGAAAATTTCAATGCAGAAAAATGATTATTGAAATTTTCTACACTGGCCGTTTAATTTAGACATGAATAATTCGAAAATCCTACTAAAACAAATTAAATGCGTTTGGGAATCCTTGTCGAATGTTAGAATTGCATTTTCGTCGCGAATCATTTCCTCAAACTTGTTTCTTGGACTTATAGCTGATTTTTGAATGTTATCATCATTGCTGGAAATGAGAGTAAAATGCAAATGATGAGCATTTTCTTACTTTACTGCTGATTGCGATCCAAATAATTTCTGGGTTAAGACAATCGACTTCGGTCCCATTTCCTTTCTTTGATTTTCCATTTCAAAATCATTTTCTTTAAATCAATCATGGAAATTTTATGGAAAAAATTATAGAAACCATTATCTGAAGCTTGGAAATTAGTTGATTCTGCTTCATTACCAACGTCCAAATCATCGAATTCATCGTCAGACATGGCAAACCGGAAAAAAATAGGCAATGTTATTGGTAATAGAATATTTTAAATTCTTGAAAATGAAAATAATTGGATTTTAGAATCTCGGCAAACTCATCGGACGAAACACGATTTTTCCCCATTTTCGAATTTTTGGAGAACCAGCAGCAGTAAATTAAACCAAGAAATGTGGGTGATTCGACCGATGAATTTGACATTTGAGAAAATCAACATTTTCGAATTTCGCGCAAAATTTCAGCGCGCACGGCCGCGAAAAACTAGTCCCTCAAGAAGGCCTTTGAAATATAGAAAATATAATTGAATGAGACGATTCCATTGAAAAAATTAAAAAAAAAACGATTCTGAAAAAAATAACGTAATTCGACGCATGATTTAGAATTTTGATACTGTCCGCGTCAAGTCTATTCCGTAAATTTATGGCATGCTTCGTAGGATACAGTATTAGAGTTTGCGCAGGCTTTCAGCCGACTCTTATGAGAAACTGTCTATTAAATGTCAATTAAAAGTTCGAAATTTCCGGGATGTTGTCGAAGACAGGCTACAGTCTGAAACAGGTATAATCCATAAAAGTTTTCGAAAATTTTTTTCTCAAACAAAATTTTAAAAAATGTGAAAAATTGCATATTCGTCTAATGTTGACCAATCTCTACAAACTTCGACGCTTTCACACAAATCCTTTGTAGTTCTATAGATGACGTGCATAAACTGATTTTTTCTTTTTTTTTTTCCTCCCATCGGCCTACAATATAATAATATAATTCGTCTGGAGAGAGCGGAATATCATTGATCGGTCTCTACTAGCAATTTTTCATAACAATACGACAAACGAATTAGAATCGTTCACAAATGTGTGCCTCGTTGCACCCTGAAAACTCTCCACCCATGTTCATCCCTATATGCATATGCATAGTTAACACTACGATGTCTGGTATAACTAATTAAATGCCATTTCCTTTTTATTGATTTGTACATTTAAAGCGTTTTAATTATTATTTCCAGAATCTAAAAAGCCAATCGCGTATTTTTTTTTGGATAATATCGCAATAATATAATTTGTTCAAATGGAAAATGACTTCAACTGCAGTTTGAGCTATTTCATTTTCAATTCATTCAAACCCCACGAATTCTATTACAATTGCACATCCAATGACAATGTGGGGGAAATTCAGAAGCCGTTGGGCATTTATTTCATATCCAGCGGTCTATTCATCCTCATTCTCTACACGCTGTGTCTCATTGCGATGGCCAAAAGCGATCTGATGAGAAGCTCGTGCTACAAGATTATGATGCTTCTCGGCATTCTCGATATCATCTGCACATTCACTAATTCGTTGGCCACTGGATTCTTGGGATACGAGGGTGCAACGTTCTGCTCTTACCCAAGATTCATCTTCGTTATGGGATCCATTGGATGCGGCTGTTGGATCGGATCGTGCCTAATCTGTGTGATCCTCGGGATCAACCGCTGCTGCGATATGAACCCCAATTTAAAAATTCGATTCATTTTCCAAGGAAGCCGCACCTACATAGTTATAGGTGTGATATCAATTCTAACCTTATGCGAAACATTTTTCACAAAGCCGTTTTTATTCAACTCAAACTATATGTGTTGGTTTTTCGACCCCAAACTTGGTTTAAAAGTGTGCCTCTTCCAACGACAGATCAAATATTATATTACCCACTTTCAGCACAGTTATTATATAAATAAAATTCATACAATTGTCAATTGTTGCACCTCAATCTTAATCACCACAATTTATCTTTATTTGTGCATTTTCCTCAAGAAAAAAGGCAAAATATCACCGTCAGGAGTCGTTTCAAAAGTGCAAAGACAAGTGCAATCTCATCAATTAAAAAAAAATGAATATCGATATATTTGTTGAGGTGTTCATTCAATCCATCCTAATCTGCTCGTTCAATGCCATTGCTTCCTACATTTACGTCTACATGCAATTATTTTACTCTCCACCATTTTTGGTGCTAATCGGCCAGATCTCATGGCAATGGAGTCACGGCAAGTGTTTCCGAGCGTCGAACAATTCATTCGTGCGTGAGCGCCTAAATTGTTCTTTCTGCTTCGGAAAGATTTGAATGAATCAGCGGTTCGTCTCGAACTCGGTGCTTCATTCTATATTTAAATTGCATTAGGAAATTAGAAAAAGTGCACAAATGGATATTATTGATGATGTTTTGAATAAATTAAAAACCAGTGAAGAAAATCTCATCGAGAAATTCATATTGCAGGTTCGGTTTGTGTCGTCTATCTGATAATCAATCGGACGATTCGAAAACGCGTCATAAATCTTCTGATTTCCGAAGGAATCCAAAAAAGAATCCATATCGGCACACTTCAATCGTCTTCTCTGAATGCCGCCAGATCATAATGATAAGGCATAAACATAATCATTTTTTAATTCTGAAAATTGGCTAACTCAACAACTTTAGCTCATACAAGTATTTTCAACATTCGCGTAGTATTTTTTTTTTCATTAAACTCGTTCAATTCGAGATTTCTAATTCGAATTTTTGATCTACCATTGCCAGATCAACTCGAACATAAATATGATAACGTATCGACGTCGCACGACGGACGGTCTAGCATTGCAACTCAAAAATGGTTCTAACTATTTTCCGCAATTTTTTCCCATTTCCACAAATACAATAGTAGTGGTGGTAGTTCATGCTTGGCGATTTTCAAGCTTGTAAAAATGAAAAAATTTGTATTGTCTTATCTATTATTAGAAAAAATGTATGTTCCAGATAAAACGCGACCTGAGTTTTCTTGGGATTGCTTTGAAGTCCATTCGACCACAGATATATGTATATCATAAATAATATAATAGTTCTTTCAATTTTCACGGTAGGTTAAAATATTTCCGGACTAATTGGAATGACCCCGCTGTATATTAGTGATACTATGTTTAAGTACTTCGTTCGTTTTCTAACCTCGGTTTTTTCGTTTTGTTCAGCATTGCGCTATTGGTGGTAATTTCAGGTCCATTATTCGATGAACCCCCAAATATAAGGCTACTGTCTTTTCGCTTCTTAATTCACGACTTTTGTAATGGGCCTAGGCAGCAAATCTTTGAGAATATTCAATCTCTGATCAGCCGGGCAATAAATAAAAAGTTCAGCCTTGATTCATTCAGAGATCACCTCATCTGGAAAATGCACGCAAAACATCATCAGCGAATTCATTTATTTGTCTTTTTTCTGCAAATACAAATGTATATGTTCGATTTAAAATGATTATTTCAAGCTTCAACGTTGACGTCTTTTTGACTTTGGATAGCATCACAATAGTTTCATTTGTTCAAATGGAAAATGACTTCAACTGCAGTTTGAGCTATTTCATTTTCAATTCATTCAAACCCCACGAATTCTATTACAATTGCACATCCAATGACAATGTGGGGGAAATTCAGAAGCCGTTGGGCATTTATTTCATATCCAGCGGTCTATTCATCCTCATTCTCTACACGCTGTGTCTCATTGCGATGGCCAAAAGCGATCTGATGAGAAGCTCGTGCTACAAGATTATGATGCTTCTCGGCATTCTCGATATCATCTGCACATTCACTAATTCGTTGGCCACTGGATTCTTGGGATACGAGGGTGCAACGTTCTGCTCTTACCCAAGATTCATCTTCGTTATGGGATCCATTGGATGCGGCTGTTGGATCGGATCGTGCCTAATCTGTGTGATCCTCGGGATCAACCGCTGCTGCGATATGAACCCCAATTTAAAAATTCGATTCATTTTCCAAGGAAGCCGCACCTACATAGTTATAGGTGTGATATCAATTCTAACCTTATGCGAAACATTTTTCACAAAACCATTATTGTTCGATTCCACCTACATGACCTGGTTCTTCGATCCAAGTGTTCATTTACCGGCAAGCGAGAAATTCCACGAAGCCTTGTATGATATCTAGAATTTCAGCATAGCTATTATATGAATAGGATTCATACAATTGCGAATTGTTCATCCTCAACCCTAACCACCACAATTTATATTTATTTATGCATTTTTCTCTGGAAAAATAATAAAATATTCCAATCTGGAGTCATTTCGAAAGTGCAAAAACAAGTTTTTCCCATAATTTCACTGAAATGATTGTAGAATAATATATTTGTTGAGGTGTTCGTCCAATCCATTCTAATCTGCTCGGTCAATTCCGTCGCTTCTTTCATAAATGCCTATATTCAACTAATTTTTCACCCGCACTTTTGATTCTAATCGGACAACTTGCCTGGCAATGGAGCAGCGGTTTGATATTTGATTAGTATCATTTTTGAGAAATTCTTTCATGCATTTGATTTGACCACTTAAATTATGACATGTGTATCAAAACTAATCGCATTTGAGTCAAAAATGGAACCAAAAAAAGGGAGAAAAATATATTAAAGGATTAGCTTCTTTTTTTTTCAGATTCTCATCGAGAAATTCATATTGCAGGTTCGGTTTGTGTCGTCTATCTGATAATCAATCGGACGATTCGAAAACGCGTCATAAATCTTCTGATTTCCGAAGGAATCCAAAAAAGAATCCATATCGGCACACTTCAATCGTCTTCTCTGAATGCTGCTAGAAGTAGATCAGGTGCGACATTGGCCTGGCAGATCTAATGATGGATGTAATGAATGCTCAGCTTCATCTGCAAGTATTCGTACCATCAAAAATTAGTATCAAAATCTCTCATTTACAGGCATAAATCGCACTGATGAAGAATCGATATGCGAGAAGTTACGGGGTTAATTTTCCACAAATATTTTTGAGGATCTCTTTTTTTCAAATAGAAAATCGCTATTCTGATAGCACAACAAATTTTTAATCCGTTTTTTTTTTCGAAATCTGCATAGCATTGGGTGTGTTGATCGAGTACCACAGATCTTTTTTTTTAGAAGATCGATCTTCGTCTCGAGATGGAATTTTCAAAAACTATACATTATTGAAAAATTAGATGTGCTCGCAAGAGAGACCGAAATTTCCAAAACTACATCATATCTAATACATAAAAACGTGCAACGCGTTACAAGAGGAGTCCTAAAAGGGAGGAGGGTGTCCAAATTCGGAATTTTCAGATAATCACCCCTGGGTTTTCCGAATTTGAAATTTTCTGAAATTTTCAGAAAATCGGCCCCTGGGTTGACAATAAGTGACCCTAATGATATGTTATTTCAGAGAATTTTACAAAAACGTGTCCAAATTGTTAAAGGGTGGTCCGAATTAAAATTTCAGAATACGATTTTAGCGACATGACGTCTCAGAAATTGATACTACTATACTCCCATCAAGGACAGAAAATGCATTACAACGTCTTATAAAATCCTCTGTTGCTAATTGATAATTTTCAAAAATTTGAGATTTTGACACTTTTTGGTAACAATTTATAAGAAATTAATTTAAAATTAAGCAATTTTGGCTTTTAAAAAGTCTTCATTGACTATTTTCAATTAAATCCTCATTTGAAGATCGACGCCGCTCGAAAATCTCTTGACACACTGATCGTACCATTGGATCAAAAACTAATAAAATGTTGAATTAATCATAGTAGAAAAATGCGTGTACGGATTAATCCCCTCTCATTTCTACGAAAAAAATCCTCATTTCTTTTTTCTTCGACCTACTACATGTAGCTATTTCGATTGTGCCATAATCATATTAATAATCCTCATTATGATAGAGATCACGTCAGATTGGGTTGACTGAAATTGCGAAATGAACCGCAAATATCGGGATTAGTATTCAATGTACGGTATCGGCGAACAATGCGGATTACTACGATGACATTCACAATTCGATTCGTATTTAAATGCTCGGCGAGCTCTTCATCGAATACTGGAGGTCTCATATGTTCTACGAAACCGCGCACTTAATGCAGAATGACTATAATTGCAGTCTTAATTACCTATTCCGAAATAATTTCGAATTGGATCACCAATTCTATAGCTGCGATCATATTGTCGATTCCTATGCGATCGGCATGCGGCGCCCAATTTTGGGAATTTATTTCATTTTGGTCGGAGCGATTGTTGTGGTACGTTACATGCTCCGCAATCATCCCTAATTATCCTTAGATAATTTACGTGCCATGCTTAATTGTTATCGCCGGAAGCAGCGATCTGATGAGAAGCTCGTGCTACAAGATCATGATGCTTCTCGGCATTCTCGACATCTTCTGCATTTGTACCAACTCATTGGCCACTGGATTCTTGGGATACGTCGGCGCGACCTTCTGCTCCTACCCAAGATTCATATTCGTAATGGGAGCTGTTGGATGTGGTATGAGTTGGCATTGGATCATCTCCTCCGCATTAGGATTCTTTAGGATGCTGGATGGGAACCTGCGCGACATGCATCATTCTAGCGATCAATCGATGCTGCGACATCAACCACAATTTGAAAATCCGCGCGATTTTCAAGGATCGCAACATCTATCTGGTTCTCGCGATTCCAATCATTTACACAATCTACTCTGTCTTTTTCACCAAGCCGCTACTCTTCGATTCGAACTACATGAGCTGGTTCTTCTATCCAGGCACCGGATTAGATGTAGCCTGCTAGAAATTGCAAATTTGTCTGCAACTTCAGCAATTTTCAGCTAAATTATTATCGCAACATCGCGCACACGGTGAATAATTGCGTCGTTTCGGTGACAACCACATCGATCTATGCCTATCTATGCCTTCTGATTCGTCATAAGAGCCGACACTCGCAATCAGACGCATTGTCGAAGACGCAGAAGCAGGTAGTCGTTGCGTCAAAATTCGAAGCATCGCTTCTTCCGCAGGTGTTCGTCCAATCCATTCTAATCTGCTCGTTTAATGCCATCGCCGCCTACATTTACGTCTACATGCAATTCTTCTACTCCCCGCCGTTGTTGATTCTGATCGGCCAAATCGCATGGCAATATAGTCATGGTAATAGTCAAGAAAATGAAGGTACTCTGGAGTTAAACAAGTCGGAATTGAATTCTCAATAGAGCGCACTTGCATTGCTTTTGTTTTTTTTTTCTTAAGAATATGCAAAAAAAAATTCATCGACTTCTAAAACGGTCTATATGGCATATTTATAAAAAATAACATTAAAATAGATTTTATAGTTTATTGTTTTATCGAAAAAATATACGACTACTCAAGTAGATGCTCCAAAAATTGGGGAAAAATGTTAGAGGTTGCAAGTGCGCTCTATTGCGAGTTCTACTACGGTGAGTTCAACTCCAATGGACCAACAAGAAAATTGCTGACTTTGCGAATTACCAACTATTCAGCGAAGCTTTAAAATTGGAGTTTTAGAATATCTGAAACAAAAAAGAGATTGGTAGAAATGAAGCATCTGAAACTGCTCGAATTTTATAATATTTTTTTTGAATTTTTTTTCCATTTCCACATTTAATCCTCTTCTACAGTAATTTGAAAAAGAGCAAATTTGAAGGCTCCGTCTGCATTGTGTACATCACCATGAATCGAACAATTCGCCGGAAGGTCATCAATCTTCTGGTGCCGCGAATCATCCGCAATCGAATTCGCATCGGCACATTCGAATCGTCACTGCGAACGACCGTCAGCTTCATCGGTGGACCGAATAAAATCACGGCGACTAGTGGATCGTCGAATTTCTAGACATTCATAAATATTGTCACATGTGTTCTTTTGAAGAATGCCACAACAAAAAAAACGAGAGTCAGAGAAGAGCTGATCTAATTGATTCGCCCGATTGCCCTCAAATTGTTGTCGTCTTTTTTTTTTTGGCGAGACATCTCCATTTGTGTGATTCGCTGAATTCGCCGCTCGCACGCCATCATTGTTTTAATTATATCGGCATAGCTGCCAAATATTCGGCATATATCACATTTTGAGCAACAAAATTGCCAACTTCCGTTATCCGACACAAAAAAACAAAAAACGAATATTTATTTTTATTATTTTTGATGCTAGACACATTTCAATTCTTTTCAAATATGTGCAAATTTGAAAATTTTCCATTTAATTGGTCCCGTTGAACACATTTTAAAACCAAAAAGCTTAAACCCATAAGCTCTTTCAGTTTATGATAGTCTTTAGAGACCTTCAAATGATACCCAACCACATTGACTGTGGTTGAATGAATGCTGGATGAAACGAGTAATACGATTTGGTTTGATTGGAAGGCTGCCAATCTTGCCAAAAATAGCATCACGTTTGATTTTTTTAAAGCCGATGGCTTTAAAAAATGAAAATTTCTCAGAGAAATCAAGCAAATTTTCATAGTTTATTTCAGTATAATTCCAAATTGGATTAAAACTACTGAAAAAATCTATTTTGAAATTAAAATTTCCTTATTTTCGGTTACACGATTTCTGTGGTACCTAACCAGCTTTCTGTAATCGCCTAGTTTCATAGCCACTTTATCGGCCCGGTCGAACCACAGCTTTCCAAGCTTTTCGGTCCTTAGCTTGAGTGGCTACGGTATGATTAGTGCTCCATTACAGGGCTGTGCGGCAATCGGAAATTTCGGCAATTCGGCAATTTGCCGAAAATCAAAATTTCGGCTATTAAATGTTTTCAACGATAATTCGAAATATAAATACCGAATTTTCACGATATCCCAAATTATTCAATGGACATTGATTTTTGTTTCGCCGATTTTTTTTTTTTGATATCAAATTGCCGAAAATCAAAATTTCGGCAATCCGGCAATTCGGCAATTTGCCGATCGAACGTTCTCTTCGGCAATTTGAAAAATCGGCAATTTCGGCAATTTCGGCAATCGGCAATTCCATTGCCGCACAGCCCTGCTCCATCAGTTGTTCTTGTGGTGATCTCCTTCCGAAGCGAATCCGACCATTTCTTGAGAGGCCTTCCTCCTGGCCGTGTCCAATTCCACGGCCGTCACTCTGTTAGTCCAGCGAGCTTTCCGTAATAGTGATAATTATAAAAATAATTTAGTAATAATAATAGGTAAATTAGTTTTAGTAAGATTGAAGAAAATTGGTCTCTTGATTGCATATCAAGCACTAGCAAAAAAACTACAGTAAACCAGGGGCATGTAATTATTAGTCAAATTGAATCTGATCTATTACAGGCGCCAATATACCCAGCGGTAGATTTAATGTGAGTTTGATTCTCAGATTGTCCGAATTTTCTGAAAAAACATTCATTGAAATTTGAATTGCCGCCTCGAAAAAATGCGATGGTCCACAAATACTTAGGGTGCTCGTGTTTTTTTTGCGATTTTAATATTTTGTTCAAATTTTCGACACTTTCCTGTCTTCAACAATTAATGTAGCGAGTTTCGTTAAAAAAGAAACGATTCCAAAAAAAAGTAAAAATAAAGTTTTCTTCATTTTTTTTCACAAAGGAATTGAATATTCTTCGATGTTCTTTTTTCTCCTTTTTTTCTACAACGAAACATGCCCATTATTCTTTTCGTAGCGGGACCCATCGAACCTTGAGAACGGTTTTCGATTTAATACGATCATCTTGATTATTGGAGCAACAAAAATTTGTTGAAAAATGGCTTTTTCAATATTTTAAAGGTGCATTTTCGAATTAATAAACTGGTTTAAATTGTCCGCAGCAAAATATTTATATGGCTGAGAAATTTTAAATAGATTCAATAACGAGTTTAAACTGGTTTGAATTTCGTTGGTCCCCTGGAAAATAGTGGACGCTGACTAATATGCATATAAAATCTACATATAATAAATAATATTCCTTCCAGCTCATTAGGATAATTAGAAAATGCAAAACTCGCTTCTAAGAGATTTTCCATACGAGACCCGACACGTCAATTTGAATTATTACTTCAGTCATTTACAACAACAAAATCAAGTGCATTGAGAAAACCAATCAAAGAAGGAACAAAAAAATTGTGGAAAAAGGCTAAAAAAAAAATAAATTCATTTCATTATTCCCACCCGTCGGCGGAAAGCAGGCGACAAAAAATAAATCCGCGACAACAAAATCGAGTGAATGAAAAGAAGGCAAAAAAGATTTCGCCAATGCTTCTTCTTTTTTTTTCTTCGGGTCGAATCTCGAGCATAAAATTATCCAAGATCTCCTGACGCCATCCCCGAAATGATTGAGTGATTTCGATGCGCCAATTGTCTCGCCAATAATTCCTTCTCATCATTATGCGTTCTCCTCGACATTCTCTCAATTATTATTTATAAGCGACCATTCATGAATTAAACATTTCCTTGTTACACAATCTTCCATTTCATTTTTTTTCAACTGATATTTGTCGGCGTGCCAAAAATTGGCATAATTCCAAAAAAATCTAAGAGGTCCTAGTGCACCTTTAACCTATTCTTATAGTTAGGTCGTAAATCTACACATATAGTTTTGCTCCTGGTACTTTTTCACACAACTTCGACAATTTTTATTTAGAAAGAATCGAATGCGCCTTTAAAGTGTGGCCTCAAAATTCAAACATTTGTCGAATTCCATCAACCTTCTTTTATTGTTCTTTTTTGGAATTTAGCCAATTGACTTTGACAATATGTTTCATTATTCCGAATTCGATTTGTGATTGATCCGACGTGGGCGGGATCTCGAATATTTCCAGAAGAATTTCGCCCGATTTTCCCAAACAACTTTTTTCTCATGATATTTTTTATTTTCTTTAAAAGATCAAATAACTATAAATACATTTGCGTGGGAATTCTCCCAAAAAAATGTTATGTTAATCGAGTTACTCGAAATTTATTAACTTTTTACTTCTTTCAACGGAGAAATGCTTCTTAAAGCGATAATCATTTAGCCACTTTTATAGGATGACCGGCAAAATTACGCGGCCACCAAAACTAGTCCCCCAATCGGTTTGTCTCAAAAATTTCAATTCCACCACTTCAAAACTATTAATAAACTGCATATTTTGGAATTTGATGACTATTTTCAATAATAATTCCGACTACAAATATTTTGCGCAAAAATTTTTCATTTTTTTAATGCCTCTCTTTATAGGCATTTTACATAATTAAAGAAGTCGGATCGAGAAAACAAGAGCGAATCGTTTATTTAAAAGCTTCTTCTTTATCTTCTCCTTCATTTTGAGATGCTCGTAAAAATCAATGCGAGTATTTTCGAGTTCTCAAGTCGAGCCTCGTCCCCCCCCCCCTTCAGTGTCACTCTATCAGTCAATCATCGGCACACATTTCACACCGCAATATGATTATTATTCCTATTTAAAGCGTCTCCGTTTCAACTGTCAACCCGAATTTCAGGATGATCTCATCAACTGGACGAGGCTTCGTCAATCTTGATGGTTCGAACGGCACGAGTTCGCGTCGAAATCCGTTCGTTGCTGTCAAAACAGGTGAGACCAATACTTCTCAATTCGTTCGAAAAAAATGTTCAAAATGATTTTAACTCGAGAAGATACATTTAAAAAAAATGTTCGAAAATACCAAAATTAAAATGCAAAACATTTATTCAGCTTGGGAAAAAAGTGATGGAAAAAAAATCAAATGTGGATAAAAAAATTTGGACGAATAATACCGCCAAATTTGACCAATTTTTCGCCAAAAATGCTATTGTTTTTTTTTTAATCTGATTGTAGAATTATCAGGAATCAAAATCAGGTATAAATTCATGAAGAAAATTCGGAAAAACCGGCTCTAAAAGACAGCGGCCGCCTTTTTTTTAGGCCGTGTTTGCTGGCGGCCGCGGCCTTGTTTTGAATTGCCTCAGCGAGATTTTCGGTAACTTTGAGATTTAAAAAATATTTTGCTCAATCAAGGAGCCGATTCTGGAATATGCAGAGGATTCTGGAAAAATGCTTGTGCAGCCATGACAGTTTCGTTTTTGCTTGAAATGTACTTCAAGTTTGAATTGCCGCCAAACACGGCTGGCCGCGGCCGAAATTTAAGCGGCCTCGCTTTGTTTTTTACAAGCCTGCAGGAGGCGAATTAATATGTGGAATATCAAAAATCGGAAAAATCAAAATTTTCTCGTTGGCTTATTTTAAGCTCCATTTCGTTTTAATATTTTCAAATGCACGTAAGAGCTGTCTGCAATGCCAAATTCTCATCGTTGCTCGATTTTGAGATTTCCGAAATTTTGGAAAGCCTGAAAATAGTCAACTGAAAAAAAAAACAATTGAAATATTTTCGTAAAATTCAAACTGGTTTGTGTGTTTTTCGATTGTGGCATTTTTTTGAAAATCCAAAAATTTTCCAATCTTAACATGAAAAATTTCATTTTACACATCTGCGGACATTTTTCCGGGTATGTGCCCGATTGCGGCAAGTTTGCTGTGGCGGGCATTCAAACAAGGGACCTACAAGGACCGTGGGGTCCTGCTTTTTTGACAACCCGCTTTATTTAAACCACCAAAAATTGATTGTTAAGCAGTTTAATCAAATAATAAGTATTTTCGACAATCTAAAATTATTTAAATAATTTCGATCAAATTGATTTCAATTTTGAGCGCGAAATAAGCAAAATTGGGAGTTTTTATTTAATTTTTGAAACTCATCCAAAATTTCAAATTTTTTGGTGGACAAAAATTAGTTTCGATTTGATCTACTCGATATGCTTGAAAATTACAGTAAAGGCATTAAACGCCTAGTTTTTTTTCAAATATCAATCAGATATTTGTCCGCAGATGGAAATTATTAAAACAATTAAAAATTTTTTGGTTCAACTAAACGAGAAAATTTGAAATTATAACCAGCGGTTATATACTACATATTTAAAAATTCAATCTAGGGGTAAAAATTATTTCTTTTCGCGTCAGGACCAACTAGAAATTCAATTCGATTCTAAAAATATCCAAAATTCTGCGGCACGTGTAAATTCTCAATTTTTTATTGTATTGCCTTCAAAATTCATGAATAGGCTCATTATTGAGATCAACATTGTTCAGAAGGGTCTCATTTCCCCTAAAAAAAAATTCGTCACTTCTTTTTATTGTTTAAAGCGATTTCTCATATTGTGCATCAATTTTTGGCTCAATGAGCTTGTTGAAAAAAATGGGAAAAAGGCCAACGCATTATTAATTGCAACAACTCATGAAGATGAAGAAGAACAACTTGAGAAGCACCAATCAAATGGTGAATAATTGCAGGCGGCTCGCCACCATTAATATCGACACCAATTTCGTCGAGAGTTCGTGGCGAGAAGCTGGTGAACTATATGGAAGGCTCGCCGCCGTCATCATCAGCCTCGTTGCCGCCGACACCGTGAGTTTCATCAATTCGAATTGCCGCCTGTGGGTCTCGTGTGGAATGGAAAAAAAGATCAACGCGACGAGCAAAACGTGCCAATGAGCCCCAGTTTGCTCAGAAGGGACCAATCAAAACGAAATTGAGAAGAAATATGTATGAGAGCGACGATCATAATGTTGCCGCCTCCCTCATCCCTTTTCCGTTTCATCGTCATCATTTATTTCTTTCTTTCTTTCTTCCTTTTTTTGGTCATCATTGATCTCGAAGCGACTCGTCATTTCATCCCGCAACACTTTAAAGGCGCATCGCTCAATTTGTCCTATCCATGAAATGTACATTCGCCGATTTCGGCGCGAACAAAATGTGTTCTAATCCCGATTTCCTGATACCCATTTTTTGAAACTACTATGACTCGTTTAATTTTAATCGCATTTGGCTGCCTAAAAAGGAATTCCGACATAGTTGATAGTTTAAAGGCGCATTGGTTTCGAAATAGTTTAAAGGTTGATAGTTTAAAAGCGTATTGGTTTCGAAATGCTTCACAGAAAGAAAAATGAAAAAATACCATAATTAAAAAAAAATTTTTGGAAATTTCGTGATGAATGCTTCTTAGAAGACCCCCCACCCTTAATGCAGCAAAAATCTTTCAAAATGCTTATACGACATTAATTATACGTATATACCTAATAGTAGTAGGCAATTATAGAAAATTCTTGGAAAAAATTGCAAGCAAGAAAACCCCAGCCATTTGTTTTTTGGGTCCGTGATAGTTGCGTCGCGGTGTTTGCACACTGCTTTTGCGCATTACAGTTGTTGAATTCAAAATTCAAAATTGCGTCAAATATGGCTAGTCCGCAAACACCGCATCGCAAATTTCAGAGATTGGACCCCTCGATTGGATGTTTGATCTTCTATATAAATAGGCACCCACCTCACACCAGCCCTATTTTTTTTTCAATACGGCGATGTGACATGCTCGATTTCCTGAGAGGGCGGTCGTCGGCGGCCTGCGCGTCGCATTGATTATGCAGCGCATAATATCAATAAGTATGTGTTTTATTCAGCGGATTAGATTGGCGAAACGCGGCCGCGGCGAGCAACAACGTCAAAACCAAAAAATGACTAGAACATTCCTCTTCAATCTCTTCCCTTCCCTTCCCCCCCCCCTCTCCCATCTCATTTGCCTTTTTCGACTTTGTAGATCACGCCCGATTGATCTGATGTCATTCTTCTATGGATTTGACAAATCATTTCGAGATGCTTAAAATTGATCTTCGCATTGCTTTTTCTCACTGCGGACACATTTCCGGGTTTCAACAATATCCGAAGATGGAAATGTCGAAAGTGCATTTCTCAATTAACTCAATTGCCTTAATTGAATCCATCTGCGGACAATTTAGAAGGTTTATTTAACAAAAATTGGCGCGATTAATTCAATTTTATTCGTTTGAGGTGAACCTATGAAGAATTCGAGGATAAGATTATCTTTTGAAAAAAAATGTCGAACTTATTTTTGAGCAAATCAGTCATACTCAATATCAAACATTTTCAACTCTCAATTTAATTCTCGCATGAATTAGATATAAGTAGATCAAGCTCAACGAGCTTGAGAGGCTTGAACAGTCAATTGTCTAGCTCATCGTTGAACAAACTTGATATGTCTCCTAAAATTGAAAATTAAGCTTAACCTTTTCAAAAGCCTAACTAAGGTGGTCCAGCTCATTGAGCAGATCCAAATAAAATTGCAATTTTTAAAGTCTATAGGACAAGAGGATTAGCATTTGCAAAAAGATTAAAGACGAACTTAGGTGGTCCAGCTCATTGAGCAACAACTAATTCAAGCCCGCTTATTTATAGCAAAGGAAGCCCCCAATCATTTAAGTGATGCCAATTAGGGTATTGTGTATTACCATCAGACCCCCCCCCTATTTTCTCATCTCACCAAATGATAGGCAACAAGTCTCGATAATTCACGGCTTCGTGTATTTCTCCCTCTCTCTCAATTCGAACACAATTAATCAGGTTTTTTGTCTCGTTCTGACCCCCCCCCAACACCCAAATCATACATATTTTGTCGTCTCGTCGAAACAGTTGTCTCGGGGGTCCCCGGAGGTTATCTATCTCATCCGAGTTGCCATGGACATCAATTTCCGGTGTGCACCGAATTTCGGGCAGCGAGCAGAAGGACCGAAAAAAAGTGAATCCCAAACATGGTGAATGGATTAGGAATTTTGTAAACAATGCATGCGGGTCCACAATTTTTTTTTTGAGGGGCTCCACAGATCGAGGTGGATTTGGAATGTGCCAATCAAAAATTATTATTTCTCATATTTTTTTTATAGATTTTTTATTAGTGTGCTTTGCTCTGCTGCTCCGCGGCGAGAGCAATTACGGATCAAAACGGGATTCCGAGAATGTGACACATTTTCGGGTGGGGGTTGGAATATTGCGAATAAAAATTTATATGAAAATACTATATATCGTTGAATACCGACGAATTTCAATAAGCGTTGCTTATTATTTAAATTTTCTTATAATTATTTTTGATCTACATTGAAAATTACAGTAGACATTAAAGGCGCATGCGAAAATTTGCGATCAAAAAATGGCCCATTCAAATTTGTCCAATTTGCGTGAATACCGCAACGTTGTCCGCAGCACGATAACTCTCTGAGCACCTCAAATTTGTTGTCTTGAAATTCGAATGAGAACCATCAATTATTTTTCCGTTTATTTTCGTTGTCGAGCCGCCGTCTCGCCGTCGCGCGCCTCTCGCCTCTCCACACTATTTCGCGCAATCGAATTGCAGTCAAAACGGTTAGTCGAGTCATTGAGCTGGGCGGAGTCTCGCCGTACAGGCGGACTCCCGGCGGCGATCGCCGTCCTCCGACGCGTCTCGTCTCATCGCAATCATCGTTGTCGCTCACCTCGCGATCATCCTATAGCTCGCATCGAACAATGATACAGTAAGTTGATTTTGATTCATTCCATTTGTTTTTTGTTGTTCAAAGGAAAAACTCGTCGGAATTGTCATTTCTCAAATTTTACAAGTCCATTTAAAGGAGCACACAATGTAATGAAAATCGGGATCGATTTTGGTCAAATTTCCGGACCACTCAAAAATCCAACCAATAAATTGAGAAAGAATTGAATTAGATTCAAACCATATCGAGAAACGAATTAATCATTTTCCATCTGCGGACATGTCAGGTGGAAAATTCCAAAAGCGAATCTCTCCCCAAAAAAAAAAAATTCAGCGAATTCTTGTTTTTCAGTGGCCAACGCCAAAAAATTGTATTATTTAAACGTCAAATTTGGACGTATGAAATTGACATAAAATAAATGAATCGGATGAGCTGAAAATGAAATGAAATTCGGCATTCTGTGATGAATGCCATGTCAAAAAATCATGTCATCGATCATGTCCATCATTATCTCAAATTTCGCCTCTCATCCACTCGGTTTTTTTGTGTTGCTATTTCTGATTGCATATGATTATTATTTTCTTTTCTTTTCGCATTTTTTTTGCTCGTGCTCTCGACTCACCATTTTTCAAATAATTCACGCTTCACTTCATCGGACTATGTTTATTTGAAACAATTGTCTCACCAAAAATATACTGCTCTTGTTGCTTCTCGCGTTTGCCTAAGGGACCATCGAATGTTTGATTTTGGACTGCGCGATTTTGCCGATTGCGATCATTTCGATGCTCGTCACTTTTTTGTTTTTGGTTGAACCCCGAAGCATGTCCGCAGCAAGCAAACATAAAGCGGCTCCATTCGGGCGGAAAATTTCAAAGCCAAAATTCGGAGTTCCTTGAAAATTTGAAAAAAAAATAGCATTATTGACAAGTGTTTTTACGAAACAGTTGTCTCGAGACCCATTTAGATTTTTAATGGCTCACAAGCACAAATATCTATATATTTTCACTAGACAAAAGGTAGAAGCTGACACGAGTTGGGGTGGTAATAAAAATGGGGCGAGGCCCGTTAGATAAATGAGTGTGCCAAGTGATGCCGTCGCCGCTTTTTTTCCGGCGATCAAACACCGAGCACGGAATTCCAAATGAGGAACGCCTCGTCATTCATGTTTCATTTAAATATGTCGCATTTTGTCTCGCGAAAAAAAATGCGCTTCTTCAATTTTTTTTTGTTCACGTTTCACATGAAAAAAATGATTTTGCAAAAAAAATTGGCGACCTTTTTATTTTTAATAAATATTCATGTCTCATTTCTAGCATCACGTCATGAATATTCAGGCTGAATTTCGGAAAAGATTTCCCTGGAATTGAAAAAAACGCATTACAGCCAGAAATTGAAACGTGGAATTAATATCATTCTTATATATTTTCGTTACAAGTTTTTGGAAAGTTTGCAATGAAAAAAAAAACGCATTGCAGCCAGAAATTGAAAAAATGAAATGATTTCACTCATACAAATATGTATTTTCAATAAAAATTATTAGTTTTTAATTTCAAAAAGAAAACGCATTACAGCCAGAAATTGAAAAAGTGAATTTTTTTTTTATAATTTGTACAATGTATTTTCACACTTTTTTTTCATATTTTGCGGAAATTCTGGTAGTCAATTCAAATGTCAGTAGCCAGGTTTTTTTCACTGAATTGTGATTCCTCGAAAATCCGAAATTGCTCCAGTTTCTAGTAACTTCTTCCAACTAAAAAAACAGTGACATCGCGATAAAAATTAATGAATTCATCGTCAGTGGTTTGAAGTAGTAGCAGCTGAAAATTGCAGTCCCCTCTTCTCATTCATAGTGCTCTTGAATCGCTTAAAAGATCCAACAATCATAAAACGAGATTTTATGAGCACATAGTAGTATTCTTGCCGATTGGGCGTGGCCATCTCGTCAAGTAACACACAAATACACGAATTCTCTATCTGTGCGTGTGTGTGCTTCTTTATTTTCATCGAGGATTACGGTGGCTGGTTGAAATGGCACTGCTGATTGCGCCGACGGTCGCTGCGTGAGTTGATCAACTATCAAACATCATTCCACCAACAACAAAAAAATGCGATTGGTGAGATTCGCGAAATTGTCGCAATTTCAGACAAATCGCCTCGGGAAGCACCTCAATGGCGGCCGCTTTTGAGCGGGAGACGTCGGTGGAGAATGGAGCCGGACAGCCGGATCGCGCCAGCATCGACGATCGCACCAGCCAGAAGTGGGTTTGAGTTTTGGGCGCGTCGACACCGATTCGTGATTGTAGGGCGCCCGATGAGGATGTCGAGAGTCGAATGATACCAATGGATCGTGGAAGCCATAAATCAAGCATTCGAGATTGCACCAATGATTCGATGCTTCGCTTGAATATTGGTGGAAGTAGCTATCGGATCCGAACGCGATCCATTCTCAAATTTGGCCCGAAAACCTTGTTAGGTATGTCAAACGCGATATCGAGCGCAATTTTTGATGGAAGTGCCCATAAAACCAAACATGAATTGTCAATTCGCGTTAGCATTTGAAAATTGCTTGAAAGACGTAAAATGGCAAAGATTCTTGATCTACTACATGTTTTTGGTTAAAGCGAATCTGTAAAATTGTTTGCCAAAAACAGCAGAGGACCCGTGTTTGAATCGCCAGTAACAACAAATAGGCGATGGTGGCGTATCCCGAAAAATGTCCGCAGATGTTTACAATGAATTTTCGATTGTTAACATTTGAAAAAAAAGGGTCGAATTTTTGACATACCTGAAATTTTTGAATCTGAAATAGTGAGGAAAGAAAGTGCGCTCTACCGCACACTTTTTAAAATATTGCTTTTCTTGCGGAAATTCCAAATTTTTTAAATTTTTCGATAAACTTTCAAATGTGAATTTAATTATTCTTGTTTGACCGAATCTCCAATATGGTTTTTTTGTTGCAGGCAGATTTTGTCGCATGAACCATGAGCACCGTCGCCAATGGGCCGATTGGTACTTTGAGGATCAGGACGAATATTTCTTCGAGCGTGTGCCAAGGTAGAGTTCGGTTTTTTTTAATCGCCGACACAACTGTTGCTTGCTCAACGAACTGGTAGCTCATTAATTTTCGATCCGTTCTTTGCCCTTTACACACGAAACTATTTGGTACACCAACGGAAAATGAATGGGTTGTGAGCCTGAAAATTGAACACAAGTGTCTATGTGCTTGTGTGTAAAAATAGAATTTTTTTTGATGGCGAGAAACAAACTGAACATGACGGATAGACATGATCGCGATTTCAGGTACTTTGACCCGATCTACGATTTCTATGCGACCGGCAAATTGCACGTACCAAAGGATCTATGCTTCGACAAATTTATGGCCGAATTACGGTTTTGGGCGGTGAGCAAATCGAGAATGGATGAGTGCTGCTCGCCGTTTGCTCAATACTGTGTCACCATGGGCGATCCCAGGTGTACGGTGCGTTCTTTTCTATAATGGTCTTGACGCGAACATATAAAATTTGATTAAAACATAAAACTCGCTTGAAAATTTTAGGACGAGGAAGATGAAGTTGCCAAGGTATAATAGACATATAACTCATCAACATTTGTTTTTTTTTTCTCCAAACATTTACTAAATTCGTCTCCCATTCTTTTTAACTCTAGTAACCAACATCTTATCGAGATGACGCGATTCACGATGAAAAATTGCCCAATTTCCAGGAAAAGGACCATTTCATCGGCGTGCGTTTCGCGAACATTCGACGACGGCTTTGGTTGATTCTTGAAGGACACACGCAATCGAAATGGTGGAAGGTAATTAGAAGAGAGATTAATTATTTAATTACCGTTGTGGGAATGGTCCTTTGATACCACAAAGATGTGAAAAATTGTCTAACGCATTTTTTTGTTGCAGGCGTTTGAGATCATTTCGACGGCGTTCGTGGTCCTTTCAATTTCGGCGCTCATTCTCGGCTCGATTCCCGAATTTCAAGTTCCGCAAAAGACCGAAGATGGCCATCTTGTGTACGCCACCGCCATCTATCCAACATATCCGAACGGCGGCGGAATGACGGTGGAGAGTCGAACGGTGATACGAGAAGGAGCCGATAATTCGGTACGATATTATTCTGTTGTTCATTCATTTTTCGTCTGGCTTATGCGCTTTTCAGATTACCGCTGACGCTGGAAATTCTAATAAAAAAGAAAAGGTTTTTTTTTGGTTGTAGTTTTTTTCGACAACAACTAACACACCATTTCTGAGTGATTTAATTTCGAAGCTATCCTCATTGCGATGAAACATTCATGGATTCCAGGTGGAAATGACCGAGCATCCGGTGTTCACATGGGTCGAAAACGTGTGCGTGATCTACTTCTCCATCGAATACGCGCTTCGATTCATTGTGTCGCCGCGAAAGTTGGCGTTTGCTCGCCAGATTCTCAACGTCATCGATCTTTTATCGATTGCCCCATTCTATTGTGAGCTTCTTCTCTGGCTGGTAACGTTTCACATCGATGTCGACCAATGGCTGATCGAAATCGTTTTTAGTGCGGAATCAGCGGCGAGAATGTGCGAAATGTGACCTGGGCGTTTCTGACGGTTCGCCTCCTTCGCGTCCTTCGCGTCATCCGAATCGCGAAGCTCGGCCGATTCTCGCCGGGTCTCGCCAATTTCGCGTTGACGATTCGAAAATCCAAGAAGCAAATGCAAATGGTTGGTGTCGTCATGCTCACCGTTGTCATCTTCTTCTCAACATTGATCTACTTCCTGGAACGGGATGAGCCCAACACGAAATTCACCAGCATCCCAGCGACATTCTGGTGGTACGCAAAAAAAAGAAAAAAAATGAATTCATTATTTTTTAATTATCAGGTGCGTTGTGACAATGGCAACGGTTGGCTATGGTGACCTTGTGCCGGTGACACTCGCCGGAAAACTAGTCGGAAGTGGGGCGATCGTTTGCGGTGTAATGGTGCTCGCCCTACCGATTACTATAATGGTAAACTACATATAATGGCATAGTTAACTATAATTGCGCAATAATTGTGTTAAAGGTCAACAACTTCATGCAAGTCGTCAAATTGCGCGAAGAGCAAATCGTGAAAAAGTACGCGCAACAACACGGCGATCATGTCTAATCACTATTATCATTATTATCATTTTGTAACGGCTTTCGGTGAATTGCATTAGTCTAATCGATCTCCAGGCCCCCTCTTTATGGTGTTATTCAGATTTCGCAAAAAAAACTATTCAGATTCGGCCACGTCCAGAATTTTTGAAGCCTACAATACCACAGTTTTTTTTTTAAATCGCTGCAAGAATCATAAAATGATATTATATACGCCTTTAATCATAATTGACAAAATAGGAAAATTTGAATGAAATAAAAAGCTGTGGAACTATAGGTTTCGAGAAATCTGGCCGTGGCCGAGGTTTTTTTTTGGATTTTTTTCTGCATTGCCTTTTTTTGCGAAATGTGCATAGCAACATTACACATAATTGTTATTCGAATAGACGCGACACCATATTGGGTATGTATAGAAGTTACCAATTTATGTTTGCTGCTAATCAAACCCAAACAAATAAAGTATTTTCTGCGAATGATGAAATAGGCGAGGAAGGCACGTAATGCAAATGTCCAATTCTTGGTTTCTGATTGCACTAATTACCATAATAGGGAGTAGTTGGGCATGATAAGAAGGGGAACCGATGGACTTGGGCCTTTTTAATCCAAATCCGGTTCGATCCGCCGGCTCAATTCTTCTTATCATTGATGGATAACGAATCATAGGTTCTCGTCTTGTTTATTTGTTTTTTGCCCTCCGACACACGTCATGTGGTCATTTCCTCATTATCCATAATAATAAAAATAATGGGCAATGTTGTATATGTATTATCAGCATTGATAAAGCGCAGTGTATATTATTAGTATTATTAGTATTAGTATTATACAGGTCATTGGCGCATATATAATTAATGCATTTCGGCTATTATATCGGAGACAAAATTCGACGCTCGATGGCCGCCTTCTTTGGCAATCTCGAGCACTTCTTCGTGCGACACTTCCACGGAATTGTCGGCGTCGAGATTCGCGCTGGAAATTAATTTCGAATTTCATTAATAATCTCCCATTTTTTTTGGCATTACATATTAGTGATCAATGAGATTCCGAGCACTTTGATGCCGAGCTGCCTGGCGACGGTGACCTCGTGACACGTCGACATACCGAGCGCGTCGGCGCCGACGGTTTTGAATAGTTGCACCTCGGCGGGACTCTCGTATTGCGGACCGCCGGACATCACATAGACGCCCTCGAATAGACGCATATTGTTGCGTTGAGCGATGCTGGTGGCGAGCACCCTTGAATTTGATGGGTTGTGTTGATTGAACCGATCGGGACTCACCTCAACGATTTGTCGTAAGCGTCATGGACGGAGACGAATCTCGGCCCGAATCGCGGATCGTTCATTCCGACGAGCGGCGAGAAGCCGGCAAGCGCCGGCAGAAAGATGTGGTCCTTGATGAGCATCAAATCGCCGTAGCGGAACTTCTCGCTGATGCCGCCGGCCGCGTTCGACACAATTATCGTTTTGACGCCGAGCTGATGCATGACGCGAACCGGAAGTGTGCACTAAATTTGAGCATTCATCGCGAATCGATTATTGATCATGACGCTACCAATGCTAGATCCATTTTGTGCTCGTACGGATGAAATCGGCCTTGAAGGCAAATGACGCGCTTGCCGCGAATCGTTCCAAATATCATGTTTCCTTTGTGGCCGACGACTGAAAACGACACAATTGATAAATATGGAAGGAAAAAAAAAAAGCGGTGTCACCATGCGTCGTCGGGAATCCGGGAATTTTCGAGTAGGGCAGAATTGTGGCGTTTTCGACGGCGTCGCCGATCGGGCCGAGACCCGAACCGCAAATGATTCCGATCTCACCATGAGCGGCATCGCCGATTTGCTCGCGAATCGACGCCACCACCGCCAGCAAATCGTCATAGTTTCGCGGGCTGAAATGAATCGAGAGTCAAAAAAAAAGGGAAAAAACGGAAGTGAATGCTGATTCGGAACTCACTCAATCGTGGCCGTCGGCTCGACACCACCAACCGGCGCGTTATTATTGTTCATCGACATTTCGAATGGGAAAAACCGTGGCGATCTGTAAAATTGGCAATGTATCAATTTGACGAGATAAGGGCTTGAGAAGGGTGAGGCTAGGGGGGGGAAGGGATGTCAGCGACAAAAAACAAATTGGCATGGTCGGGGCCCAAGAGGAAGCGAGGTCAGCTGAATGGACCACGTTTGGCGGTGGGAATGAGCGAAATGATAATCATTGATAACTCATCGAATCGGTTATCATTTGACGACGAAAAAGGCGGTCCTCTCACTATGTCGTATGTCTGTGTTTTTTTGGCGTGCCATTCACCAGAGAGCACGCTCTCGCAATCGCTGATTCCAGGAATCCGATAAGGTGTTTGTACACATATCGGAGAATCGTTAAAATTTTTTGCCCAGTGCGCGCTATTAAAATGTCAATCAGTCATTGAGAATTGTCCGCAGATGGTTTCACATATCATAAGGCGAATTAATCCATTTGAAGTTAGCAAAGAGGGCACACGTGACTATTCAAGAAGCCACGCCCCACAGAATGGCGATTGTGTGACAAAATCATCCAAACAGAACCATTCTCTCTCTCTCTTTCCTTTGGTGTGAAATTGACATTAGCGATAAGGGACGAGAAAAAAAAACCGAATTATTTGGCGCGTCGCTTATCAGGGGGCACGGAAATTTGTAGTGTGTGACACGAGGTGGCGAGCGAGTAGTTTCAAGAGATCATCATCAACTCGACTGTTCGCGTGGGAAAAAAAAAACATAATAATTGGGCCGTCATCATTTTGTTTTTCGGATTCAACAAAATGCTAGAAAATTACTGGAAAAAAAAGAGACAAATGGGTAGTGTCGTCAAATCAAATGCACGAGTCCGTAGAATTATTATTATTTTCGAAGTGGAATTTGTCAAAATGTCTTGAAGAAAATCGCACTTTGAAGAGGGCATTTGAAAAAAAAATGGTTTGTTTCGAATAATTCGGTGGTTGATTTGAATCGGACAAATTTGGACTGACTTGATTGACCTTGAAATATGTCGAATATTAACCGAAATAAAAACATTGTATGGGTTCTAGTTGGTTGGGGGTTTTTTTTTCATTTTTGCGACCGCCTTCCTTTTTAAATACGTGCCCGAAATTGAAAGTGAGAGAAGCGATTATTGGAAAGTTCAAACGATTATTCGCAAATTGAACTCTCTACGCTATTCCAAATATGGGAGACCTATCTGTCGCCAAAATTTGACCATTTTTTCCAGATCACATCAATCAAACAATCGGCATTTTTGTGATGATTACTGATAGTTCTCTCTTTTTTTTTTTCAATCGGATTTTTGCTATTGAAATCGAACCTTTTAAGGTTATCACTGCGCCAAAGACAATTCTGAAACGTTTCTCTTCTTGGCAAGTCTAGCCATGGGTCTCGAATGGAATCGCCTTGGAATCAAAAGATCAAAATGAATGTCATCAAATCATTCCAACTACGATTTCGATTTTCCGCTTTTCGCATATACATATATATATTTTTTTGAAAAATGATAAACCCATAGATTTTCGTTGAATCAAACCGAACAACACTAGCAGGTCAATGAAAAAAACAATTGCTGGTCGAAAATTTGGTAAATCAAATAAAAATAAGACAACAAAAACGAAATCGGGAATATTTTCGCTTGCAATTCAATTTTTTAAAATCATTCAAAATTCTTATTTGAGAATGACAGCAAAAATTTGGGGGTTGTTCTGTTCAGAAAGATACACGCGATTGATATTGTCGGATTCGAACGAACTCGAAAAAAAAAACATATTGGCTATGTGCCAATGGGTTTCGAAATGTACACGATAATGCGTACTTTGCATTTTAACCTACGCGCATTTAATACTCAGCCAATGCCGAATTTATCCTCTGATTTGAACCCTATACTGTATGAAAGGCTTTTTCAATAAATTTACCTCAATGTGTTCGAATCATCACGAAAAATTAAGGCAATCTATAGAGTGATATAATAGAATTTTTTTGAAATCTTGAAATCGATTCTGAAATTTTTGAAACTGTTTCGAAATAGCGGTTTTTATCAAATTTTTGGTTACAAAATCCTGATTTTCTAATATTTACACTGTTTTGCATAATTTCAGCCGGAAGACAGCTCAATTCTAAATTTTCGCAATATTAGGGACCATAATTCTTGGCGAGGAAATTTGAACAGATTCCATGAAATTTCTAACATAAATTTGTGTGGTGCTTCTCCCATTTGTATATTTTTCACATTTAAATTCACCTCTTGAAGATTGAGCGATTCTTTTTTCCTAGAATTTTAATATGTAGAACTGAGGGAAGACTAGTTTTGATAGAGTAGAAAAATTAATTTTCAAAATTCAATTAATTATTTTTTTCCGATTTTTTTCTTCTTCATTACTCCAATAAATTGCCTTGGTCCAATCAAGTTAAAGATCGGCTTAAAAAAATTTTTTTTTATGTTGGCTTAACAAATGACGATTCAACTATGTACATAAGTATGAATTCATTTTTAATTATTTATATAATTTGTCTCAATTTGAAATTTGAATTTAAATTTTTAAGCTTACAATTTCAAACCTTTGTGGCGATGATATTGGCTATCGTCGAAATATTTCGGCAGGTTTTTACCGAAAAAAATCGTCCATTAAATATCTCATCACACAATAAAATCAAGCGGACACAAAATGGAATAATCTATTCCATCTAGGGGGTAACATTATTAATGAAATTTGCTACCATCTAAAATTCACGCGAAACCCCATGGAGGAGTTCATATTCAAAAAAAAAAGCTATCGGCGGAACCCCCACCGTGGGACCACAAATATATTTCATTCATACGAAGCCACGAAGCTGAGCATATGCCCAATGTCACACAATTGGTAAATTATGTGTCCGCTGCATTTTATCTGTTCCCAATGTTATAATTTAAATGATAATTAATTCTAAAATTTTTTATTTAATTCAAAAAAATTCTTCGGAATAAAACAGTTGGAATTCGATGAGATAAGATATGAAAACCGTTTTGGTATTGTCGATGTCAAAAACGAGGCGGGACCATCAAAATTAGGGCCGACTAAAGTGAATCGTTGACTGAAAATGAAATGCGCGTAAGCTTTAACGACTTACAATTAAATTCACATCGCAGTTTTGGGGAGTGGTGCATTTTGGCGGAAGATGTATGCACACAGTTTACTGCACATTTCAATCCATGGGATCAATTAATTTCGCCAGTATGAAAGCGAAATTGTGTAGTTTTTTTTTGGAGAATTTTTATACACCAATAATTCTTTCCTACGTAGCCGCGAAAATTCGGTATTTCTATATGTCGAATTATCGTTGAAAAAATTTAATAGCCGAAATTTTTATTTTCGGCAACTTGCCGAAATTGCCGAAATTAAAAATCACTTTAAAAACTGATAAAATTGGACGTTATAAAACCTCAAACTTTTTCTTTAATGCTGTCTACCAGTTTTCACATTAATTGGTTAATTAATTAATTTTCAGTTGTGTACTGAGTACGCTGAAATAATCTGTAATAACAGCCACGCAATTATTCGTTTTAGGAAGGAAGCTTTAGAATTTCTTATAATATTTTAGAGTTTATTATTGAAAATTTGATTCTCAAAATAATTTATTTGATTTTCCTGGCTTACAATTAAATCCACACCGCAGTTTTGGGAATGGTGCATTTTTGCGTGACAGTGTATGCACAACTTTCAAATTTTTGGATGACATGCAAAATCCATCTAATATTATATTGAGTTGATGAATAATATGAACAGAGAAATGTTTGACGATATTTCTTCGATATGGAAAATTGTTCCCTCAAACGCTTCTGCATTTATAGCAGCTCGACAAACTCATCGGGCGAAACACGCAGGTTTCGCAATTTCGCCGCCAGGAAATCAGCCAATTTCTTTTATTCTTACTATTTTTTTTTCTCTTAAAAGTTGTCATTGTTTCAGCGAACACGAAAAAAAAAACTCTTATTTCTCTAACTAGGCTTTCCGAAAATTTGATACTCAGGTAAATCGAATAAAATATTTTGAGATTCATTGAGAAACTAACGTCTCTCTATAATATTTTAAATTTTTCTCAATCAATTTTAGAAATTATTATTAAAAGATTTTAGAATTTATTGAGATAACATAGAATTTGCTCAATAAATTTTAGAAAATCTTATTCTCAAAATATTTTATTTGATTCACCTGAGTAGTTGTGCATACACTGTCACGCAAAAATGCACCAACGCTCAAAACTGCGGTATGGCATTGCAATGTACGCAATTTCGCGTACTTCTCGCTGCCTCGTGACGCATTGGCACCTAGCCAATATATATTTTTTAAATTCCGTTCAGTCGTTTCGATTTCGAGCCAGCCGCGTCGCGTATGCGTCGCGGTCGGCTTCGGTTTTCAGTTGGAAAAAAAAAGAATGCGTCGAAATTGAGAGCAAGTCGGTGTTTTTCGGTATAGCTATTCATCATTGGGGGTTCTTTTTAATAATTTGGAGAATTTTAAAAATTTTATATTTCCATTTAATTGCCGATTGCCGCACAATTGTGTAGAAGAAAATTCAAAGATTTTAGGGACCATCATTTTTGCCACTGATATATATATATTTTTGGTAATATGGTCCAGATTCAGCTGCCAAACTCGATTAGGCTTCTCGACGGTAGGAAAACTTGAATAATTTAGGCCAGACGCACTATTTTACCTTGTGCGCCTTTAATGCCTACTGTAATTGATTCAGTTGCCCCTGACATACCGTCGTGAAACGGATTCACTTGGAGGTGATCGAATCGGCTCATCCGCATTGCTCGTTCTTTCACTCTGAACTAGTCATTCGATAAAATGTCCGCAGATGGAAACATACAATTCTTTTCGACGATTTACAGCACATCTGAAAACTCAAGCCAATGCCCATCACTAATCTTCAACAAACCAATTATGTTAATTAGTTGGAGTTAAATCAAGTATCGAAAATTCTCGAAATGTTTCCGAATCGCACGTAAATAATCGAAAAATCAAATTGTTGACGTTCGCTTTCGAATTTTTACAATTTGCGGAATTTTCAGCCCCTCAAAAAAGAAAAGAAATATTAATGAAATTCCTCGGTGTAAAATGATATCGAAAATCGACACAAAAACATACTATAGCGAATAGTTTAGCAAACTAAAAATAATAAGAAACAACATCAACAAAAACCAGTTGAACTGACTAGTACGTTCGAAAAAAAAACCACTCAAAAAATTGGTATGATTAATTGGGGCTATCAATTTTCACCAAATGATATCATAGGACAAAAATTGTTTCAATTTATTTTTTTTTCATCTGCGGACAATTGCCTTGGTCAAGACTACATCTGCC